CGGAGTCTCGGGGCTGCCAGGAGGGTCCCCACACCCCAGCCTTTGGGCTGCAGCAACCTGGATACCCCAGCTTGGGTCCTCTATTCCAATTTTCCCTTCCCCTGTCCAGAACGAAGCGGGTGGGTGGGATGCCGAGAGGCCTCCGCTCTCGCCGAGCCCAGATGGTACCGTCTGCTGCTCCAGAAAAATTCCCACCTGCCCGTCCCTGCTCCCGCCCCGCGTGTAACCGATTCCCTCGGTGGGTGCCTGTGCCTCCCCGCGCCGGGGGCTCGCTGCGGGGAAGCCTACGGCAGCAGATGGGGAGGATGCCAGGCACGGCCAGGGCGGACTTGGGGAGGCTACGCTAGGAGATGGGTCGTCTTTTTTTAAAACAAGATTTTTTCCACTGCCTGGTTATCCCTTGTTACCAGGTAACAGAGATCCAGTGCATAAATACAGGGCAGGGAAAAGAGCTGCAAAGCTTCCATGCACCCCGGGGGGGAGCAAAAGAAAAAAAAAAAAGCAAACCAACCTGGGCATCTAAAACCTTAAAACCTTCCCCTTCTGGCTGCTGATGTAAATCCCAGCTGGGACTTGAACCCAGGCTGCTATTTATTCTTTGTTTTCCTTTCTTCTATCCCTTGCCCTCAAGGACGATGCACCGTTACACTTAAAACAAAAGCCTGGCTGTGGCTTTAAGCTTGTTCTGCAATAAGCAGCCGCGATCCTTCTTGTTCTCCCCAGTTCCCTGGGTGAAGAGCAGTTCAGCAGCTGCCGTGACCCACCCTGGCGCTGGCTGCTCGGAGAGGCTCAGAGGGGGAAACCCTTTCCCCCCCCCCTCCCTAAACAACCCAAACTGGCCTGGAGGCGCGCTGCAGAAACCGGGAGCGATTACCCCGAGAGGGGCACGGTGGTACCTGGGGGGGGTTTGGCTCAGCCCTGCCGCCCTCCCGGGCTCAGCTTGGCACGAGGCTCCCGGTGCGAAGGCGTCGAGGACGCCGTGGCTCTGCGAGGGCTTCGCTCCCTGCCGTGAAGAGGGAGACCTGGAAAGCAGGAGGAATTGGGTTTAGGATTTCTGGGTGGGTTCCCAAAGGGGGTTCTGTGGGTGCTGGGAGCATGAGGGGTCTTGCTTGCAATCCTTGCCCTCCAGCCATCACTGCCAGGGATCCTAAATGGACAGGCCACCCCTGGCAAAGCCCGACCTGGACATTTCCCCCCCCCCCATTTCACCTCCCTGCAGGGACAGGGGTTGGTGCAGCCGCTCTCTGCACCCTTGTGCGTGGGCTTTCAGGAACCCAGCCGGCGTGGCCTGGCGTTCATCGACCCCTGGGGACATGGGCCACCTTTGGCCCGTGCCCTGTTTGCCTTCGGGACTCGGCTGTGCCCTAGGAGGGGAAGCAATGAGAGATACGGCTCAAAAAGTATTCCCAGTGCCCCACCGGGAAAAGCGCAGTGTGGGACTCACCCTACCAGGGTGCAGGCAGGGGGTTGCAGTATCACCCAAGGGAGAAAAAACAGCTAGCTCCAAGGAAGGCAGGTCCCACGGCCCGTGCTGCACCCCACGAGTGACATGACCCCACGCCACCAAGTAGCGTCACCCAGGCAGGGGGGTCTGGGGGCTCCCACCTCCTCCCCAGGCTCATCTGCTCCCCCCCCCCCCCCCCCCGCCCCGTCGCTGCACACCATCTCCCTCTGCCCCCTCCGCTTGTTGTTCTTGGCCGGGTTTTAGCCTGTCTAAATTTAGGCGGCTCTATTTCAACACCCATCCTCTGCCCTGCGGGGGGAAGAGGACGGAGCAAAGGTAGCCGGGGAGGAAGAGCCGGGACGGCGGTGCCCTGCGGTGGGGTCTGCCCCCCGCATCCCCCCGGCCGGGCTTTCTGCACCGGCACCCTGGATTTTATCCGGCTGCAGAGCCATGGAGGTGCCCAGGACTGAGGTTGGCATTTTCCCGGCTGTCGGTTCACGGATCTCTCTGGCTGTCACTCGGGGTAGAGCCGGGTGACAAGGACAAGCCAGCCCCTGTGCCCACCAGGGAAGGAGCTCCCTGCACTGGGAGCCGGCTCGTCTCCGGAGGAGGCTGATGCAGGTGAGTGGGGCCGCAGCAAAGCGAGGGCAGGGATGAGGGTCCGAGGAGCAGGACACGGGCCCGGGCACCCAGGGGTGCCCCAGGAGCTGGTCCCATGTGCGTGTGGCCCCAAACAAAGGGAGAAGTGGGGTGCCCAAGCACCCCTCAGTGCCCTGCCTGACACAGCCAGAAACCATCCCTCTCCCCTCACAAGTGGCATCACCTCAGGCTTGTGGAGCATCTCCAAGTGCTGGCGCTGCCTCTCTCCCAACACCAGGGGGGTCAGGACACCCCAAAGCCGTCAGGACCCATGGCAGGGCCTCTCCTTGCCCTGGAAAGAGCTGCCGGGCTCTGCCACACACTAACCAGCATCGTGCCAGGGAGAGGTCCCCTCCGTGTCACCACCTCCAAGGGGATTTTTGGGGGTAGTGCTGAGGGGTCACCCCGGGAGCCCCGAGAAAGATGCTCAGCCTGGTCCAACCGGGGCAAACCAGGTAGGGTGGGACATGACGGAGGCGTTGGAGGAGGATCAGAGCAGAGTCGGCCTGTACCTCGCTCACCAGTACGCACCAACCACCAGTCCCCAGCACTGGGTCTCACGTCCCCGCACCCCAGAGATGATTTTCCCCGCTGCTTCCAGCACGGTCGGCTCAGCTTGTCCTTGCTGCCAAGAGCAGCTGGCAGCCAGAGCATCGCCAGCAGGTTCGAAGCAGGTTTTTGCTCCGGACATCTGCCCCGTTACCCATTAATCCAGCTGGCAGAGGAAGGCGGGGGGGCCGCCAGCACTCGGCTACGTCACCGTGCCAGCCAGTACAACCAACCGCGGTTGTTTGACGGCTGCAGCCACAGCAAAGGGAGCTGAGAGGTGCTAGACAGAGCTGGTGGGGCTGTGATTTCTCCTTTTTTGAGAGCAAGATGAGAATTCAGCCTCTTCTCTGCCCTGCCCCCCCCCCCCCCCCCCCCCGGTTGCAGCTCACACTTACCGGCACTCGCGGCGTCGGTGGCATCGACTCCTTGGGCTGCCCAGGGTACCAGGCACGGACGCATCGCTGCGAGCCCCAGCCTCTGGCAGCTGGCACCTCACACAAGCTAAAAGGGAAGAGAAAGAAAAAAAAAAAAAAAACAAACTCACAATTTCACATAGAGCAGTTTCAAAAGGACCTTTGCAAAAGGCTATTTGACTAACAAGTGACTAATAGCCAGCTGGTAAAATGAGCCACCAAAGGACTCAAATCCCCAGCCCCAATGAAGCACAAGGGAAGTTCAAATTTTTCCGTCTGTGTGCATCTCCCTGCGCTCCCCCTCCAGCACCCCAGGGGAAAAGTGGCTTAGAACACATTTCCCAGCTTCAAGGGAACCTGGACACAGGTTTTCGGTGGAGCAGGAGGTGCTGGCTGCGGACATCGTGGCTGGTTTTTCAGCTCCTATCCCCTCGGATGCTTGTGCTCCAAACCCTCGTTTTGGTGGGGACAGCAGCAGGCCGAGCTGCACCCCGCAGTTTGGGTCCTCTCCGCACCCATGGGCCGCTCGCACCCCTGCCCTGGAGTCTCCCACCGATCCTCTCCAAGGGCGGCTGGAAAAGCTTGAGCTTTTTGCCACACTGAACTACGCCGCGCAGCTGCCTCGGGGTGGAAGAGAAGATCTGCTGTGGTGGAAGGCACTTAAAAAAAAAAAAAAAATCCCAAACCCCGCAGGATTTTGCTCAAAAGCTTGCCTCCCCCCGAGGGGCAGCGTTTGGCAGCTCGGTCCCTGCAGCGGCTCGTGTTGGCGGGTGCCCCTCAGATCCCACCTTTGCTTTGGTTCTAGGGGCCCTGCCGAATGAAGCCGAGAGCAGCCGGTGGGTGAGCAGCCCCCCCGGCTCTGCATGGATTGGAATGGGGAAACCCACCTGCAGTAAGAGCCCGGGGCAGCTGAAAAACCCTGGCTGCTTCCTCCTCCGAGCTCTCTTCCTCCTCCTCTTCTGCAGGCATGGTAAGGAAGCGCGCGGGCAGAGCCGCGTCCCCGGCAGGGACGCCCGTGGGAGCTGCAGGGAGGGTAAAACCACAGCGGAGCTGCCGTGACTGGGGCAGACAGACAACCCCCCACCACAGCCCCAAGGCCCGGGCGGTACCAGAGGGCACCAGCATCGCCCGCCCCTACCAGGGCATCCCCCTGCTCCAGCCCTCAAAAGCTCCGTTATCTCCCAAGAGGGGACAGGGACAGCAGGGCACAGCCACTGCCCAGGGGCTTCCCGCAAAAGGCAGCTCAGCCCCTCGCCCTCCCTCGTGCAGCTCAGGCACAACCAGGAGGGCTCAGACCCCTGCCCAACTCCTTTCCCAGCACCTTGCCCTGCCCAGTGACCTTGCAGCCAGCCCTTACAACCCCTCGGCTTAATGAGCTGAACGGTCCCTCCGGGGGCAGGTTCGTTAGCTCTCCCCGGGGCTGCGGCACGCGGCGCTGCCACGGCACGGAGAAATCACATCTGAGGGGCAGGACGCCCTTGGTGCAGTCAAGCTTCTTGCGAAAGAGCGACTGCACGGCCCAGCCAAGGCTGAAATGGGAAGAAGGGGTTTCCCAGTTCAGAAATTCCCGTTCGTCCCCTGGCAAGCCCTGGGGCGAAGAATCTCCGTCTGAGCCGTGTCCCAGGGCCGCGGTGGCAACTGCGGCTCTGGCGCTCGGCCGCGCGCGGGCCCCGGGTACGAGCTCACATCCCAGTTGCTTCGGGACACCCCTTCGGCCCCGAGGCTGCCCTCCGAGCCGGGCTCCAGCCTGTTTCGGCAGCGGGCAACCCTGGGTACATACTCCCCTCAGGCACGTAAGCAGCAGGTCACCTAAACCGGCGCCCGAGTTCGTTAGAACGGGGAGATAAGTGCTTGCAGAAAGCGTCTCCACCGCGAGATCGGGAGCAGGCCAGCCGGTGGGAGGAGGCGGGCGGTGGGAGGAGAGGGGGCTGCCCTTCCCCGCTCCTACAGCCCTACCGGGGTGCCCCGAGCTGTCCCGTCTCTCCCAGTTTCTTCCCAGTGCAAGATCCTGCGCTGCAACTCGGAGTACGTGGCTGCCACCCTCAACCTGCGCGGCTCCAGCAGGAACGCGGCGTACTGCACCGCCCTCCGCTCCTACTCCCACTGCACCCGCAAGACGGCTCGCACGTGCCGGGGCGACCTGGCCTACCACTCCGCCGTCCACGGCATCGAGGACCTCATGATCCAGAACAACTGCTCCAAGGAGGGTCCCACATCCCCACCCCGAGCCCGGCCCCCGGCCCCCAACCACCAGGGCTTCGAGTCTCTCGATATCTGCAACTACGAGAAGAGCTTTCTCTACAAGCACGGCCAGCCCCCCAGCTACCAGCACTGCGCGGCTTTCGGGGACCCCCATATCCGCACTTTCCACGATGACTTCCACACTTGCCGAGTGGAGGGCTCCTGGCCTCTCTTGGACAATGACTACTTGTTTGTGCAAGCAACCAGCTCTCCGGTGGCCAAGGGGTCCAACGCTACGGTCACCAGCAAGGTAACGCTCGCGCATAGGGGCCTGGCAGCAAATCGGCTCGCCTGCGGGCTGCGGCAACGGCTTCGGGTGCTCCCTACGCGCCCCAAAACGGCTGGGGAGGGCAGCAATAGCTTCAAGCTGAACCCAGGTGGGGTGAGGAATGGAGGTCTGCAGGAGCAAGCGGGATGAAGGTCCCTGAGGGGGACCAGAGAGGCCTGCAGACGCTCCCGTGGCTGCCTGGGGACGGTTACTGCGCTGCCCACCGTCACCCCCCGTGCAGTCTGTCCGGGCTTGGCGCCGTCTCAGTTTTCAGTGGCTTAAACGGTTTTAAAGAATGAAGGAAACGAAGGAAGGAAAGCAGGAAACCTTGCTGCTCTCCCCAGAGGTCCGCAGCAACGTGGGAGAGGTGGTTTGGGGCAGAGGGGGGTGCGTCGGTGCGGCGGACGTGTGCGATCTGCTTTGCTAGATAGCCGGTGCCTGGGGTGGGGCCGCGCCCAGCCGGTGAGACCAAACCCCCCCTTCCGATCCGCTCTCCGCAGCTCACCATCATCTTCAAGAACATGAAGGAATGCATCGACCAGAAGGTCTACCAGGCTGAGATAGACAACCTCCCGGCAGCCTTCGAGGACGGCTCGGTGAACGGGGGCGAGAGGCCCGGCGGGAGCAGCTTGGCCATCCGGGAGCTCAGCCCCGGGCGGCACGTGGAGATCCGCGCGGAATACATCGGCACCACCATCGCCGTGCGTCAGGCCGGCCGCCAGCTCTCCTTCTCCATCCGGGCAGCCGAGGAGGTGGCGGGGGCCTTCACGGAGGAGCAAGACCTGCAGCTCTGCGTGGGCGGCTGTCCCCGCAGCCAGCGCATCCCCCACGGCGAGTGCTGCCGCGGGCGCGAGGCGGCCGAGGCGGCTCGGGCGCTCTGCAAGGAGATGCTGCCCGTGGAGGACGTCTACTTCCAGTCGTGCGTCTTCGACGTGGCGACCTCGGGGGATGCCAACTTCACCATGGCGGCTCACGGGGCTTTGGAGGACGCCAGGGTCTTCCTTCCCAACGCCGAGAAACTGCACATCTTCCAGGCTGGGGCAGGCTGCCCGCGCGTCTCTTCTTCCCTCCTCCTCCTCCTCCTCCTCCTCACCTCTGGTCTTTGGGCTGTTTTGTTGCACTTTTAACTCCCGCTGGCACTGCATGGGATGCGTCCAGCCAGCCCAGGGGGGGTAACCTGAGAGCTGCTGACTCAAGACCCATGCCGTGCAGAGCAGGAGAGCTTGCCTTACCGAGGATCAAGTGTCTCTGCAGCGGTGAGGGATCAGAGGCCCAGACCTGTGGGGAAGGGAGCGCTGGAGAGGAGAGACCCTCAGACGCCGCTTTGCACCCGCAGTTCGCGCACGCACGGCACCGATCGGTTTCCTCTCCTGACGGCAGATCACAATTTTTTTCTGTTGGATTCTCATGCGTTTCTTTTTTTTTTTTTCTAAAGACAAGGACGTTGCAGCCGTATCAAAGAAAAAGAAACACGTGGGGGGGAGACACGTTTCAAAAAAAAAAACCCTTTGCCCCTCAAAGCCTTTCCATAAATTCCCTTTTTACCTTTCTTCCAGCGTTACTACAGCAGACTTTTACTCAGGAACCTAACAGCTTCAGAAATAACAAGCTCCAAGCCCAGATCCCAATTTTTAGCAGTCAAGAAATGTTGCTTGGTGGCTTTGGGGCCCCTTGACCCCCCAGCTGCTACCGAAGCCACGCGAGAGCGAAGCAAGGCTGTAAGTTGGTTATCAGAGTGTCGTGACCAAGGTCTGAGCTTTTTGAGCTAGAAATCAACCATTTCGCACTGCATTCTCCTCTCTCTGGGTTAGTAACGTGCTGATTTTCCAGCGTCGGGAGCTGCAGAGCATCAGCTCTCTGACATTTTCAGGCTACTGTTGTTATTTTATCTTGTTGACTTGGCACCTCTCTGGGACTCAGGATAGCCAGTTCTGGACTTTGGACCAGCGTTGAGTTTCAGTGAGGAAAAATACCCCTTGGTATTCCTCTCCCTCAGGCTCAACTTTCCCTGTGGCTGTCACAGTCCCGTTCAAATCCAACCCAGACTGCGGGTTTCACTGGCAAAAGAGAATTAATAATGAAGACGCGGAGCTGGCAAAAAGCCGTGGGACTGTATCGATGAGGAGGGGAACTATGAGCAGCTGTACATAAATACAGAGGTGATGCCAAATTAAACGTTTAATATATTTAAGAGGTTTTAAGTAAAGCAGCTAGAGTTCTATATGCTAAGAAATATTTTCCTTATGCAAAGAGTTTTGTTTTGTTCTTTTTAATAAAGAGGGCTCACATTAAAACTTTGTCGTTCCCGTCCCGTGGAGCTGTAGGAAAAGCCTTGCAAAGCCCTGTGGAGGCAGGGAATGAAGCTGGCAAGACACGGGGGGAAAGAGAAGAGCAGATCATCCGGGTACGGAGGATCTGTCGAGCTGTAAAGCGAGGTTTTACAGTTCACGTTTCAGTATTTCTGCAGTTTCTTTGGTCAGGTTTGGTTGTTTTTTTTTTTTTTCCTGCTGGTTCTTCTGCCGAGGGCACAAAGAGTAAATACAGAAGCATTTCTTAGATATCTCAGCACATTTCCTCCTCTGACATGCACTCAAAGCACACGGTGACTAGAGGGAGAGTTTCTCTGTTTCTTGCAGGGTGCTTTTGCTAATCCCTGGAGGTTTTGACATTAAAGGTGTCTATTTCTGAAGTCCTCATTTCCTGTCATCTGTCTCTTTATTCCTTTGGTCGGCAGCAGCAGGTGAAGATAATAATATCTCGCCTTCCACCCACTGCTCCTTTTACTCTGGAGCACTCTGTGGTCTATATATACACTCCCCGAACGAGGAGAGGAAGCCAGCCTGCCTCGCTGCCACGCTCCACCACTTTTGCAGGTCCCCGCGGTAGCAGCGTTCCCCCCCCGGGGCATTAAATCCTCGCAGGGATAAAACCCACGGAGGCCCTGAAGCGGCTGCAGGGTTGAGAGTGCTGGAGCTCCTCACGGAAAGAGGATTCCCTCGGGCCAGGGTGCGAGGCAGCAGCTCCTCACCAGCACGCAGCGGTGCTGCACGACTGCCAGAAACAGCGTCGCCGCCAGATTTTACGGCGCAGAATATAATCGCCCTTTAGATTTTAGCCAACGGAGCCAACCGACAAGAACGCGGCGGGGAAATGGGGGGGGGGGGGGGGGGGGTGTGCTTTCCTAACGGGGAGAGGAGGATCTTGCTGGCTGGCGACCCTTGCAGGGGAGCAGGGCCACAGTCCAACCCCCCCAGACCCCACCTCGTGGTACCTCCAGAGTCACCAAACGGCGACAGAATTGCCCCACCGAGGCGCGCGGCCAGTGCTGAGCCAGAGCTCCGCAGCGGGGCTGTTATTCGGGCTCACTCTTCCCAACCTGCTCACGAACGTCCCGCCCGGCAAGGAGGCAACGAACTGGGCTCCGAGGGCTTTGCTGCCATCGGAGAAGAGAAGCGGAGTTTCCCGGGTCTACCCGTGAAAGACCCCTCACACATCATCCACCCGACAAACCCCAAAGCCCAGGAGAATCACCAAAGTTGGAAGGGACCCCTAAGGACCATGGAGTCCAAGTCTCTGCTCCTCCCAGGACTACCTAAAACTAAACCATACGGCTACGAGCATCATCCAGACGCTCCTTGAGGAGAGGACTTTGGCCAGTGCTCTCTGGAAAAAGGTGGGTTAGACCATCCTGAGCAGCTCATGGAGGTCTGAAGCTCCGATTCTGGTTGGGGCAGGTACTGGGGAGTCCCAGCCGAGGCCACCACCTCCCTTGGATGGGCTGTAGATGCCGAAGCCTGAGCTGCAGCCTGGCTAGGGTCCAGCAAGGCGGAAGGAATGTGCACAGCGTCGAATGGGTTCGCGCCGCTTCTCAACATCGCTCTGTGCTCTGCATCCTCAACTTAACGACTGCAGAGGAAGCAAGACCTTCCGAAGACTTGCTGAAGTCTCAAAGTGGAAAAGAGACCTTTCCACCCCTGACAGATTGCAGTCTGAAATAAAGGAGTGGAACGTAGGCGTGGATCCAAGCCCCACTGATGTAACAAGAGTATTTCCATTGACGTCAGCAGACTTTGGATCGAGCCCTTACATTTCCTAGCGTATGTCACCTGCTAAAAAAGACAGTGGCAACACCAGCCAGCATTTCCAAAAACGAGCCCGTTTGGGGCCACTTCGCATCCAGATGCCCAACCCGGGAGGTTGGAGCAAGGGAATTCCCAGTCTGGATCAGACCTGAGCTTTGCTTGTCCTGGCAGACGGTTGTCAACAGCAGCCGGCCCCGGGGCTCGCAGGAAGGTGTGAGAAGTCTGGGACAATCTGCTCCTCTTACGCCCCATCTCACTCTGATTTTCAGTAGTTAGAGAACAGCCAAGTTCTCGTGGGCCACGAGGTGTAGTAGCCAAACCTGAATCTCCATTAGTAGCTGCTTCTACGTGCCATAAGCCAGCCTGGTCATCAGAGGTGGCCGGGTTCGCCGGCTCCCGGGGTGGCAGTGAGGGCACAGAGCCGTGTAAACCGGAGCTGCCCAAGCCTCTAAGCTGCAAACCAGAGCTCTCCAGAGCACGAGCAGGTCTTCAGAATGGCAGCGCTGGTTTAAAAGCCACCCGAACGTGCGGCTTTCCTCGGCGTTTTTCCTGCCAAACTCCCGCGTGTCTTGTAAGCGAGAGGCGAGAACTTCCTCCACGAGGTTCAGGGTTAGATTCAGCTTCCTCATGTTTGCAATGGCCAACGCCTTGAGCAGAGTCACCAGCAGGGAAAAGGAACGGGGACAACGGCTGAAACGGCCACATCTCGGTGTGGAACGCTTCCTCGTGTTCCTCCACAACTGGCATTAAAAAATAACCTCAAATCACAGAAAAAAAAAAATAAATAAGCTGCCAGCGGCGTCCAGGCAGGAGAGGCACGGAAGCCAGATCCCTGGAGGTCCAACCTCCCCTTGTCCTCATGAACCAGCAAATGCCACAGTTTTCAGCCTCTTACAGCCATTCCTCCTTCTTCTTGTAAATGCACGAAGGTTAACGCTCCACCTCACTTTTGACAAATACACAAGCAGCATGCTCAAACCACGAGGAACTGGCTTGTAGCAGCCAAATTTAAACGCAGTTTCACTTGCCTCCTTTTAAACTTTGTACCCGGGGCCGGGCAGGCCGCATACACACGTCATGATACGCCGGTATCATTAATCTGGCGTCAGTGTAATCCAAGCCACCGGCCCGCGTGGGTGGGTGGAAATCCCTCCCGTGCCATCCCCAGCAAGGCCTCTAGATGTCCACAGAGCCCAAAATATGGGAAGGATCTTGGAGGAGTCGGCAGCCCCAGGGGATGTCCATCCTCACCCCAAGCCCCGCAAAATGCTCCCAGAAAGGTTCCATCGTTTGGCCTTGCTGCCTGGGAGATCGGGGAGGGTGAAGAAGGTCTAGGAGGGGATTGTGTCGTCGTTCCCCCCCCCCCCTAGTTTTAGCCACCCGGTCTGGTTCTCTAAATTAGGGAGCTCGATGTTCGGGGTGAGCACCCCCGGTGAGGATCCCCTCGCTCCCAGGCGAACACACGCGCTGGCAGCCTCAGAGTAGTTTCGGCTGCTGAAAAGTAAGAAAACTGCCTTATTTTTTTGCTCTCTCCAGCATCTGCAGAACCTGCCGGGGCTTTTCAAGGGACAAATGGATGAAGAGGGGATGGAAGCTCAGGAAATCTTTTGCTGCTTTCTCCCTCCCTTCATAACAGCATATTTAAAACCCAGTGGACACCAAAGGCAAAGGGGACTGGTTCGGCAAAGAGATGAGCTGGAAGAAGCTCTTTTAGAAGAGGAAGGCTTGGCCAGGGAGCTGAGAGCAGTGGGTTCGGGCGGCCCTGCCGTGTGCTGGGACCTGGGGTCACGCTCACCCAGCCGGAGGAGAGAGCTGATGCAACTGAGCCGTCCTGCCCAGACCAGGAGAGAGACATGGGACGTCCCAAACTCTGAATTCAAACTCCTCCTTGTTTATGGATGACTGAGTTCAGTCTCTTGTCACAGGCTGGTGACACTTAGCTCCAGCTTTCCCCTTCCCCTGTTGCAAAAACACAAGCTGGCCCCCCCAAAAAAAAAAAAAAAAAAAAATCCCACCACGGCAAAGAACCATCTGTCAGGGAAGAGCTTTCGCATCGCACTCCTTGGCAGGAAGGAAACTTGGGGAAAAGTCCTCATGCCCGAGCCCTGAGAGGACCTCTCCCCATTCAGCAGGGATGGTGTAGCAGCTCGAATAACGAGCCAGAGAGTTCTTTTTCTTTATTTCTTTATGCAGGCAGACGCCCCTGGCCTTGCTATCCTTTCAGCTATTTTATGTGTTCTCTTATCATGCACGCGCCGGTTACAGCTCTTCTATTGGCTCTAGTGCCCTGTTCACGCGCCTAAGCTAATACACTGATTTGCTACTTTCTTTTGTCCACGCGCACCGATTGAGTCACTGACATCCTCTTTTCCTGCTTTCTTATTTTCCTTCTTTCAAGATAGTTCCTCTCAGCTGTTTACATTTTTTCTCTCAAGGCAGAGCTGCGCCTCGTCAAGGTCAAAGCCGCCCGCGGCCCAGCCAAGATCCGAGTCCCCAGGCTGGGGAAGGGGGACAGGGGATCCTGATCCGTGATACGGGTGCCACGAAGCATTTCAAAACAGTCCACAGCCCGCGCAGTGCTATGAAACACAGGCAGTGGGGACACAAGCCGTCGCTGTGAATGAAAGCAGCAAAAAAAGGCTGATTTTGGACACCCCAAACGGGGATTTGCCCTCGGAGCTTTCCTTTTCTGGTAGATCCCTGAAGAGCTGTCAGACCCCAGCCCGGTTCCCCTCTCTATTCCAGCAGCCCCCTGGTGCCGTGCGTCCCCCTCCTCCGCCTCAAGCCAGGCACCACAAACCTTAACATCCTCACCAAAACTGCTGCTTTTAGTTAGAAACTGAAACGGGGAGCGCTCCCCTTGCTTCGCTGCTTTCCAACCTCGAAATCTGAGGCGGCCCCTTTGCTGTTGAATCACTGCGGTGGCCACAGCCAACTGGGAGCAGCGAGAAGCCAAGTTTGGGACAAGCGGTGGCATTCCAGGAGCCACCCCGGTCCCACAGTCCCTTGTTTTCCAGCTGCAGCGACAGGCACTCGATGCAACCAGCGTGGGATTTATTTACTATGTTCCCTGTACATAAACAACCTCGCCAAAGGAAATGCCTTTTCCACCCTGGCTCCCGCTCTCGACCGCACACCAAGCACACTCTGTCCCTTTGCTCGGGCCGTTGTGAATCCCTTCACGTCCCTCTCTTCCCCCGCCTCCCCGCTTGGAATTTGCTGGAAGCAACCATATATGGTGAAAAAAAAAAAAAAAAATATGGAGAAAACAGCACGGAGAAGCTCCGGGGCTGCAGCCTCCAGCAGGCACCCACCGGCTCTCCCAGCAGTTTATGGGTGGCAGTCGGTTGTCTGGTCGAGGGGACAAAGGCCAGCCTGCCACGAGAGGAGGGTGGCTTCTCCAGGCAACGATGGGTAGTGCCTCCCGATAACCTAGACCAGGAAAAAAAAAAAAAAATAAAATGGCTTTTATCAGAGTCAGACTTTTATTACAAGCAGGTCTCAGACTGATGGTGGGAATAAGGGCAGTTTCCAGCAAGGCACGATGCGGCCGGCACGGAATGCGGCGCCGAAAGCTGATGTCCTGCCCGGTTTCTGCCTTACCCAGTTCCTTCTCCGTGACCCTGACCGCAGTCCTGGCTTTCAGTGAGTCACCTCAGGGCCTGGTTTCTCACTCAGCCCAACCCTGCTGCTTCTGAACCCGGTCATCCCCGGCGTGTAACGTTAGTCATGCAGCTCTCCTCGCTGTCCCTCGCCCCCGGCCGGGCACGCCGGGAGGGGACAAGGCTCTGGCTGCTCTCCCCATCCACCCTCGGCAGCAGCTTTGCTCCCAGTGAGGGGTGGGGGGGATCCTCCAACAAACCCCGTAGGAAATGAGCCCAAAGGGGGGTGAATGCCTTAAAATAAATCCTTAGTGGGAGCAAGGAAGCCCCCCAAGAGCTGGTCTCTGCCCAGAAATCCAAGTGGCCTCTCTTCTGATGCCCTTGTTTTGCGAAGGAGACGTGACGTTTTAAAGCTTTAGTTTTTATAAGCTAAAATTCCTCAGCATTTCCAAACCCCTTGCTTCGTGCAGGGTGCTGCCTGCGTGGGAAACCTTGTGAACCAAGTCAGCCCTGAGGAAATTACAGCTGCTCGTTCCGCTGCAGAAGGACCGGGGAGGCATTTCCAGTCGGATAGGGGTCAGGAGAGCAAAGGGCAAAAGCTGAGTGACAGATAAAGAAAAATGTGGAGAGGATCGGGGCTGTGGAACGTGCCTTGGACGGTGTCTTTGGCAAGCGCCGTGGTTTAGGACTCGATCGTCCTTTGACATTGCTGGAATGTGTTTTACTGTCCAAGAGCGAGCAGCCGTGGGCTGGATGCATCTTCCTTGGAAAGACGGGCACCGAAGGAAACCGGAGAGGGAGAGCGTAAACACGGCTCCTGAGGGAACGCCGGGCGCGGATCCAAGCCGGGGTCTTTGGGATCAAATACCCCATAGCTGGCAAGGCTGGGAAGAGACCGCGCCTCGTTTTGCCGAATTAGAACAAATCCACAATTCTTCCTTAATCCGGCACCTTTTTTCCTAGTGTGCAGCCAGAGACAATGGGGCGAGCTTGCCGGGACCAGAGGTGGCAGGAAAAAGGTGCAGTTCCTCCATTACGTACCTAATTGTGAAAAAATTCTCTCCCAGTAAGGAAATTTGTCCTGCAGCTTGGCAGGCGAACAGTTTATGCCCTACAGTTTATCTGGCTGGTTTATCGGTTTATGCTAACAGGTGTGAATTAACTCCAGGGAAAGGAGAGGATGGCAGAGAAAGAAAAGCACGGTGCGTGCCAGGAACACACGGACAAACAAGCTCCAAAGGACAACAGAGACAACTCCTAACAAAAACACATCCTCTTTCCTCATTCGGGGTGGGGAGGTCTTGGAAGGCCCTGTTTTCCATTTCTGCTTTGTTGGGTGGCTCCAAAAATATTGTTCTCCCGTTTCCTCCACTCCCAGTGTTTTCCTGAGCTGTAAAATCATTAAACAGCTTTTAAAACCAAGGGCAAAATAACCCCCGCCCGTCAGGGAGGAATGTCTGCTCAGCAAAAATGATCTAGGAATGAAAATTCGAGGGTTTCTCCGAGTCAAAAGTCTCCTACGAGGGACAACACAGCTGTCCCTGCTCTCCAAAACCTGGCTGGAAAACAGGGACGAGGGGCCTGCCCCAGGCACGGTTTGTAGGAAGGATGTGGTTGTTCGCCCTCTCATAGATCAAGGTAGATTTGTTGACGAGAAAAAAAAAAAAAAAAAAAAAAATCCCCCCGCTTTCTACAGCGAATGGCGAGAAACATCTAGACGTCGCAATCTTAAAAATAAACATTTGCCTCAGATTTTCTCACCGGCTACTTTCTGTGTCACCCGTCCCCCCCCACCCCCCCCCTCAAGACGCTGTCCCGAAGGATCCCGAAGCGGGGAGGGGGGGGGGGGAACACGATGTCATGCTTCCCTTTTAGCAGTGTGACTGCACGTTGAGGGGGGCTGTTGGTGGGAAGGGTCCCCAAAACACGGCCGGTGAGGAAGGGGTGCGCTCCCCCGTTGGGGCGTCATGGGGGGCTGTGGCAAGGGGCAGATGTGGGGGGAAAATACCCCCCCAGGACACCCCAAAAGGACGGGAGAGAGGCCCCTCGGGGTCAGGCTTCGATACCCCACCCCAAATCCATCCTTATTCACCTCAAATAAATTAGGGGGGGAAGCTGGGGTATAAAAGGGGGGGGGGCTGAGAAAACGCCTCAGGCGCCTGGTGAGGGGAGGCTGTGGAAATGTCCCCAGGCTGCCCTGGGCTGGAGGGGCTAAGGAAGAAAGCCCCCAGAGGGGCGAAGGGAGCAGCACAGACCCCGCCATCCCGCTCCCCGCCCAGCAGAGCCTAAACTAGGAGCGACCCCCGCCCGGGGGGCTCTCCCCTCCCCTCCCCTCCCGGCTGCGAGCATTACAGCCCGCTCCCCATTGGCCGCCGCCGCCGGCGGTCCTCGCTCGCCATTGGCCTGCCGCGCTGTCACTCCGCGCCCCCTTCTCCCTCCCCTCCCTCTCCCCGCCAAGCCGGCTCACCTCTCCTTCACACGCTGTCCACGCTCCGCTCCGGGCGCGCTGATTGGCCGGCGGGGCTGTAAACAAGGCGGCGGCGGCCAATGGGGGCGCTGATCACGCGAGCAGCACGACCGGCCACGCGCCCTCGGCGTGGAGCCGCTGGCATCAACAAGCGCGGGCGGGGGGAGGGCGGGGCGGCGGAGGCTATAAAAAGGGCCGCGGCCGGCGGGGGCCGTTCTCAAAGCGCTGAGGGCAGCGAGAGGCGCGGAGCGGGCGTGAGGGCAGCACCCCGGCTTATCCCTTCGGCTCTACCAAGCGAAGGGGCAGATTGCCTTTTTCTGACTAAAATCAGCCTGTCCCGAGTTGTTTTTTTTTTTTTTTTTCCCCCCGCTCTCTTCTCGCCCTCGCCGGTTCCTCGGGAGCGTTTCGCCACCTGCGCCATGGTGATGTTCAAGAAAGTGAAGACCTTCCTGCTGGCTTTCAGCGAGCCGGAGAAGGTTTATTGCAGCGGGGAGAAGGTGGCGGGGCACGTGTTGGTGGAGGTGGCCGAGGTCACTCGCGTCAGCGCCGTCAAGGTGCTGGCCTGCGGGGTGGCCAAAGTCAACTGGGCCAAGGGCCCGCAGCAGTGCAGGCAGGAGATGGAGTACCTGCGCTTCGAGGATGTCCTCACCCTGGAGGAGCAGCCCACTGGTGAGGACAGGGGCTGGGAGGAGGGAGCTACCGGGGGGAAAAGGTGGTGGGGAGGAAAAGGGGGTGCTGCCGAGCAGCAGGTTTTCCTGGGGTGCGTTGGGGAACGGGGCGAGATGGTTCTGTGTCGCGCCGGGGCTCAGCACCGAGACCAAAGCGGGGTCGGACGGTGCCCGAATCTTGGGGAGGAAAGGAGCGACTTCATCAAAACTTCGGAACAGGCAGAGGTTAACGGGGCTTGGTGGAGTCAAGCTCAGAAATGAGCGGAGGGAAGCTGTTGGGTGTCGGGGCCGGTGGCACAGGCAGCGAGTCCTGGGGGGGGGGGGGGGGCCGGGGAGCGACAAGTGGAGATCTCGCACGAAACGAGGAGGCTCTTTGCTCCCTCCAGCAGCCTCCTTGTTTGGCTGGATCCAGGGAAGGCGAGAGATAAGGGCTTGGCGCTGTCCCGGGAGATAACCGGGGTGACGTAAAGTCGGGGAGCTAGAGATAGCGCTGGGGGAAAGAAGGGGGTGCTCGCCACTCCCGCAAAGCGGCAGTGGGGTGTGGCGGGGCGAGGGGGACTGGAGCGCGCCAGGACGGGGTGTCCTGGCGTCGGATGGGGATGGCGAAAGGAGAAGTGAGATCAAACACGGCGCTTCCCTGCCTGGGGGACAGGCGGAGGCGGCTCTTGGCAAACACCTAACACAGCCGGAGCTCCCCCGGGGGAAGCAGAACGGAGGATAATGCTTGAGAACAAACCCATGGCTGACGTTTCCCTTCCTCTTTTCTCTTCCCAGATGGGGACGGCTCTGTAATCCTCAGACCCGGGAACAAGTACGAGTACAAATTCGGATTCGAGCTTCCCCAGGGGTGAGTATGAGACGAGCGCTGCCTTTGAAAATGGGGGATTGCTACAGGAAATCCTCCCGTCGCCTCGGCTGCGGCTAACGAGCGTCTCTCTCCCCAGGCCGCTGGGTACCACCTTCAAGGGAAAGTACGGCTGTGTGGATTACTGGGTGAAAGCCTTCCTGGAGCGCCCGTCCTTTCCCATTCAGGAGATAAAAAAGCGCTTCGAGGTGATGGATCCTGTGGACGTGAACACACCAGAACTGCTGGTAGGTACAGCTTTCCTGGGAGAGGTTTGGGTGTTGGTGGGCGTTACGAGGGAGAAAAGCCCTCGGGGAGGGTCAGTCCGACCTCTGCCACTAAGACTCCTCTAAGAGGCTTTATTGCTGAGCGTGGATTAAATACTTAGTCGCTAAGAAGTCCTAGTTACTCCTAGAAATCTACACCAAGGCAGATAAAGCGAGGCGCTTGTTCTGCTTTCGCTTGGCTGCCAGATGCTCGAAGCTGGCGGGGAACTTGAAGCTTTTCTTCCAAAATAAGAGGGAGGAAGGAGGAGTGGGATTGGGGGCCGGTTCACCCAGGTAACAACCTGCTTCCTCCGCAGTCCCCGGTTGCTGCCAAGAAGGAGAAGAAAGTGTCCTGCATGTTCATTCCCGACGGGCGCGTGTCGGTCAGCGCTCAGATCGACAGGAAGGGGTTTTGCGAAGGTGAGAGCCTGCCCTCCCTTTCTGGGGGGGGGGGGGGGGGGGGTGGGGTGTGTGATAAACCTGGCAAACCCCCCCGACCTCCCTAAATCCCGGCCGCTGTTCCCTCCCCGCAGGCGACGAGATCTGCATCAACGCCGACTTCGAGAACACGTGCTCCCGCATCGTGGTGCCCAAAGCCGCCATCGTGGCCAAGCACACCTACCTGGCCAACGGGCAGACCAAAGTCTTCACCCAAAAACTCTCCTGCGTCCGAGGCAACCACATCATCTCGGGCATGTCCGAGTCCTGGCGGGGCAAAACCATCCGCGTCAAGAAACTCAAACCCTCCATCCTGGGCTGCAACATCCTGCGCGTGGAGTATTTCCTGCAGGTGAGCGGCGCGGTTCGGCGTTAACCCGCCTCGCTTCGTTAGCGGGTGAACCCCCCTCCCCTCCGTGTCCCCCTCCCCGATACTCCCCCTCACGCCCCGCTCCTCGTCCCGGCAGATCTACGTCAGCGTCCCCGGCTCCAAGAAAATCATCTTGGAGCTGCCGCTGGTCATCGGCAGCCGCTCGGGCATCGGGAGCCGCAGCTCCAGCATGGCCAGTCAGACCAGTTCCGAGATGAGCTGGGTGGACTTGAACCTCCCGGATGCCCCTGAAGGTGAGTGGGGGGGGTGACAGCTAGACAAATTTGGGGGGAGACACGGACTGGGAGAGTTGGAAGCGGGGGTGAGCTGACGGGTGCTCCGTCCTTCCCGCAGCGCCCCCGTGTTACCTGGACATCGTCCCCGAGGACCATCGCCTGGAGAGCCCCACCACCCCGCTGCTGGACGAGGCCGACAGCTTCGACAGCCCCATCTTCATGTACGCCCCCGAGTTCAAGTTCATGCCCCCCCCCACCTACACAGAGGTGAGCGCTCGGGTTGGGAATTGGGGGGTGGGACACACGCCCCCCCCCCCCCCCCCAAGGGACCACGGGGTTTGGATTTGGGATTAAACCTCTGACCGTTCCCGCCTCAGGTGGATCCCTGCGTGGCGAACAACAACGTGCAGTGAGCGCTGAGGCCGGGGGCTGTGCTCCCCCTTTTTTTCCTGGACTTTGGAATTATCCCGCCTGCGGGATCCCGGCCGATCCGCTCGAGGAGGAGGAGGAGGAGGAGGAGGAAGGAGCCGAGAGGTTTTTTCTTTTTTCGGCGGGCGCCGGAGTGCGGAGGAGCCCCGCGGCGGTTTGGGGCTGCACCGGAGGAGCGACCCGAGGGCGTGGGGTGGGGGGGGGCTCTGAGCCCCCCGCGGTGTCACCCGCAGCGGAGGCGGGTTCCTGCCTCAAAACTGGCGGAAAAACCCCCCAAAAAGTTAAAAATCACCATCATGATGCCTTCCAAGCCACGGTGCCAAAGCCCTGGGCGAGGCCGGGGGGGGATCCTGGCTGTAAATCCCACCGACGCAAGGTCAAGGTCGTGAAGAACTTTTGTACTGTTTTGTATTGGGGTTTGGGGTTTTGTTTTGTTTTTTTTGGGGGGGGGGGGGGGGGGGAGAGAGGGAAAAAAAATTAAAAAAAAAATTATATTTTGTCCTGTTGGTGCTCTACATGCCCCTGGGGGGTGAAATTTTTAATAAAGATCTGAGCAAAATGGTGGTGAAGCCTCTTGGATTTGACCTTGGGGAGGGGGGTGCTCGCCCTTGTTAAGGAAGCAGCTGCTAATTGCAGCCCCCCCGCGGGGGGGGGGGGGGGGGCTGTTTTTCCCACGCTGCCCCAAAGCCGGGAAGGGGAAACTGAGGCCCCCCCCGCCCTTTTTTTGGGGGGGGGGGATGTGGGTGAAAGGTGATGGCAGAGGGAGAGGCCTGGGAGGAAAACAGCCTTGGCCTTGGCTCGGGGCCCCTCGCCTCTCCCTGACTTGGCACGGGGGGGGGCCCTGGGCTGCCCCCCAAGTGGGTGAAGGGTCAGCGCTGCTCCAGGCCAAGTATGGGCAGGAACAGCCAAAGGGGGGGGGGGGGGGGGGGGGGGGAATTCCCAAGGAGTTGGGGAAGAGGCTAAATTGGGCCAGAAAGAGGAATTCTGGAAAAAAAAAAAAAGGGGGGGGTGGGGGGGAGTGTGATGTGTCACACACACACACACACCCCCACACACACACCCAGGATGGGGGTCCCCAACACCAGCCCCCCCCCCATCACGGGTCATCCGTTGTCCCAGTGCAGCGAGCACAAGGGGAAACTGAGGCACAAATCAGACACACACCACCCCACCCCCCCCCCAAAATCCTGGTGCCCCAAATTCTCCCAGCCCAGAGGCTCCCCCCCGCCGGGGGGGACATCCATGAAGGGGGGGGGGGGGGTGTTGTCTTGCTGTTGCCTCCCCCCCTCCCCAAGTGGGGCAGGATTAGTTCTTTGCCTCACAGAAGCACCAAGGGCTGCAGGTGGGAAATCACCACCTCCTGGAGTCCCGTGATGGCTCAGCCGGCCTTGGGGACACCTGCGCTTGGGGATGGGGGGGGGGGGGGGGGGGGGGGGGGAAGGGGGGGACAGAAAGGGAACAAGTTTGGGGTTTGCTGAGCTGCTGCTTTTTTGTTGTGGTTTGTTTTTTTTTTTAAAAAAAAAAAAATCACCCAGAGACTGAAAAACAGCCAAAAACAGGAACTTGCTGGGGGGGAGGGGGGATGGAGGAAACAGGGGGTGCGGGGGGGTGCAACAGCACTTCCCCATCCCCTGGGGTGCACGGGGGTGGCCTCGCTTTGTCCTTTCCTTGTCCCCCCTCCAGCTGCACAAAACACCTTCAACCACCCCCCCCCCCCCCAAAAAAACACCTTTTCTCCCCAAAAACACCTTCCCCGGAATCCGAAGGGACAATGCGGGGACACGGTGCCGCCGCGTCCCCTGACTCCAGGAGCTGGGGATTTGCACCCCCTCACCACACAGCAACCCTACAATAACAAAGCAGCGGGGGGGGGGGGGCACTTGGGAACCCCATTATCCCCACCCCCCCAAAATCCCGGGAGGGGCTTGGGGCCATGGGACAAGCCAAACCGGAAATACCCAAATTAACTTTAATCCACCCAAAATTAAGTTTTAAAAAAATAATTAAAAATCTCAAATGTTAAAAAGCTGTTGCAAAAGGGGGGGGGGGGGTGTGTGTGTGTGAAGCTGGGGGGGAGGCAACGGGGGGGTTTGGGGGACTCCCCCCCCCCCAAAAACTGCCTCCAAAAGGGACAATCCCACCCCCCACTGGTTTGGGGACAAGAGTAGGGGGTCCCTCCCCCTCACCACCTTCCCCCAGTGGTTTGGGGATTCCCCCCCCCAGGCTGGGGGGCAGCGGGGTGTCCCCCCCCCTCCCCGGGGTGCCCCCATTTGGCGGGGGGGGGGGGGAGTGTGTGTGTGTGTCCCCCCCCAGCCCTCCATCCCTGGAACACAAGTGCCACCTGCAGGCTGGAGGGGGGGGGGACAAGGGACCCCGGGGGACACACCCACACCCAGGGACACGGGACCCCCCTGTGGCGGGGGGGGGGGGTCACAGGGGACCCTGGTGTGGCGGGGGGGGGTCACAGGGGCCCCCCCGTGTCGCGGGGGGGGGGTCAGTACACCGCCTCGTCCATGTTGTCGTCGCTGTCGGCGCCGAAATCCTCCCCGTTGTCGAAGTAGGACATGATGTAATCGGTCTCCTGGGGGGGGGGGGGGGACGGGGGGGTCAGGGGTCACCCCCCCATCACCCCGATTTTGGGGGTGCGGGGGGGTCCCCCCCTCTCACCTCCTCGTGCTCCTCCTCGTCATACTCCTCTTCCTCTTCTTCCTTCCCTTCTTCCTCCTCCTCCTTCTCCTCTTCCTCCTCCGATGTCACCTCCTCCTCCTTCTTCTCCAGGCTCTGGGGGGGGGTGGTGGTGGTGGTGGTGGTTCAGGGGAGCCCCCCCAGCGTTTAAAACCCGGGGTGGGGGGGACACCCCAAAATCCAGCCACGCCCCCCCCTCACCACCACCATGGGGGGGGGCAGGAAAAGTGGCTGAGCCTTCGGCCTCATTACCTCCAGCTTCTTAATGGTCTCCTCCTTGTCGAGCGTGACCCGCTGCTTGCACTTGGGGATGAGGATGGTGGTTCCTGGGGGGGGGGGGGGGGGGGGGTAAGGAGGGGGGGGCAAAGGGGAGTGTCACCCCCCCGGGGGTGGGGGCAGAGTCTGACCTCTGGGGGGGGACACAGAAGGGGGGACACACACACTCACTGTTTTTCCGCAGCCGCCGCACCCGGATCTTCAGCTCCCGCGGCAGCCGCCTCCAGTCTGGGGGGGGGGGTGGGTGTCAGAGGATCAGAACCCCCCCCACACACTGACCCCCCCCCCCATGTCCCCAATCCCCCCCCCCCCCCCCCGAGTCCCCTCTGTCCCCGCCCCCCCAACCTGGGTTCCAGTCGATGGCGCTGTCCACGGGGCTGGAGAGCTGGTACTTGTCAGAGTAACGCTCGATATCTGGGGGGGGGGGTCAGTTGGGGGGGGGGGACACACACACATCTGTGGAATCTGGGGGGGGGGCACCCAAGGAAACGGGTGTGATGGGGCCTGGTGAAATGGGGCTGGGAGGGCCACAGCAGTGGGGTTGGGGGGGGGTCACGGGTCAGTGGGGGGGTGTGTCACAGCAGTGGGGTTGGGGCCATGGGGGGGGGGGGTCACAGGAAGGGGGGGCTATGGGGGAGGTCACAGCAGTGGAGTTGGGGGGGGGTTGTCACAGGTCAGTGGTTTTGGGGGGGTCACAACAGTGGGGTTGGGGCCTTGGGGGGGTCACAGCAGTGAGGTGGGGGGCTATGGGGGGGGTCATAGCAGTGAGGTGGGGGGTTACGGGGGGGGGGGGTCACAGCAGGGGCGTTGGGGCCTTGGGGGGGGGGTCACAGCAGTGTGTGTGGGGGGGTGATGGGGCTGGGGGTATCACAGCACCAGGGTGGGGGGCTATGGGGGGGGTCACAGCAGTGTGTGGGGGGGTGATGGGGCTGGGGGGCTGACAGCGGGGGGGGGGTGGAGGGATGGGGGGGTGTCACAGCAATGAGGGGGGGTCAGCAATGGAGCGGGGGGCTATGGAGGGGTGGGGGGGGGGGGTCACACCAGGCCGGGCCCCACAGCACAGACCCCTCCTGCCACTCCCCGCTGGGAGGTGGGGGTGTGGAGGCGGAGGGCGGGGGGGGGGTGAGGGGGGGGGGGTGTCCCCGAGCCCCCCCCCCCCCCCGGTACCTCTGCGCGGCGCCCCGGGCCTGACGAAGTAGGGGAGCCCCTTCATGGCGCCCCGCAGCTCCTGCTTCAGCGCCAGCATGTACTCGCCCTCCTCCCCCCCCGGCAGCGGGGCCGCCCGGTGCTCCAGCGGCTGCGGGGGGGGGACACGCACACACACATGCACTGAGCGTGTCAGTGCTCAGCGCCCGCCCCCCCCCCCCCCCCCACCCGCCCCCCCCGCCCCCCCCCCCCTCCATTTCCAGGACTCACCGGGAAGAGCGGGGAGGGCTGGAGGGTCGGGGGGGGCAGCGCCTCCCCCTTCCCGATGCCCACCGCCTCCACGTTTGAAAGTCATCTGCCCGCGGCCCCGGCCCCGGCCCCGGCCCGCCATGGCTGGGGGGGGCCGCACGGAGCCGCCCCCCCCCCCCCCCCCCCCCCCCCCCCCAAAAAAAGAACCCGCGCTCCGCTGCCCCCCCTCCCCGCGCCGCTTCCCGTTCGCACACGGCGCATGCGCAGCCGCCCTCGCGTGTTTCCGGGAGGGGCGTGGCCTGCGGAGGGTGGGGGTGAATGGGGCGGGGGCGAGGGGGCGGGGCGAAGCGCGGGATGAATGAAGGCAGGAAGGAATGAATGGGGCGGGTGTGAATGGGGCGGGGGGTCGCTACCGGGGGGCGTGGGAATGAAGGGGAAGGGAAAAGGGGGTGCAGGGGTGCCCCGCCCCGCGGCCCCGGGGCTGTGGGACCCCTCCGACACCGCCCCACGGCCGCGACATCGCTCGGCGGGGACCCCCAGCCCGCCTGCCCCACAGCCCCCCCGATCTCCAGTGCCCCACACCCCCCAGCCCCAATACCCCGTGGCCCTCAGCCCCACTGTGCTGGGCCCCCCAGCCCCATCACCTCCTGGCCCCCCCAACCCACTGTGACCCCACAGCCCCATCACCCCATGGCCGCCCCGATCTCCAATGCCCCACAGCCCTCAGCCCCACTGTGCTGGGACCCCCCAGCCCATCACCCCCCAGTCCCGCTGCCCCACAGCCCCCAGCTCCCCAGCATTGTGACCCCCAAGCCCCATCACCCTATGGCCCCCCCAGTTTCCAATGGCCCCCCAGCCCCATCACCCCACGGCCCCCCCAGTCTCCGTCACCCCACAGCCCCCAGCCCCACTGTGCTGGGCCCCCACCCCCACTGCCCCACACCCCCCAGTTCCCCTGCGCCGTGACCCCCCCGCCCCACCACCCCGCAGCCCCCCCAAACCCCGATGGCTCACAGCCCTCAGCCCCACTGCCCTGTGACCCCCAGCCCCATCACCTCACACCCCCCCCCCAGCACCATAACCCTCCAGCCCCACCACCCCACATCCCCCCACCCAGCCCCATGGCCCCCCAGCCCAGCCCCTCTGTGACCCCCCCCCCAGCCCCACGGCAGCTCTCCCTCGCACCCCCGCGCAGGCAGCTCGCCGCAGCGGGTTCGTTGCCGGCTGCGCCGCCGCCGGGTGATTCATCCCCGCTCCAGCCCTCCCCGCGCCAGCGGCTGCCAAAAATAGCGACGCAACTGGGGGGGGGGGGGGAGGTGAAAAAAAAAAAAAAAACTCTAAATAACCTTCCCCTGCCTTCCCCCCCCCCACGCCGGCGGCCGGCTGCGATGGCGGCCACCGGCCGATGGCCCCGACACCTCCATCCTCGGGGCACCTGGGACCCGGACCCGTCGCTGGGGGATACCCCGCTCCGGTTACCATGGTAACAGAAGGGATGCAGGGATGGGGGGGAAAAGAGCTGCGGGGGGGTGGGGGGGGGATGGTGTCCCTTCTTTGGGTTGTCCCCCCCTTACCCAGGGGGGGGACGGGGCAGCCCTGAGTGCCGGGCCCAGGCTCGGTGGCAGCCGGTGCCTTGCTGGGGGGGGGGGCGGGGGGGGGAAGCCACCGGTTGTGCTGGTGAACTAGGGGGGGGCTGGTGGCTTTTTCCCTACACACACACACAGACACACACACCCCCCCCCCCCCCATTTTTTTGGCTGGTCAGAGCGCTGAGGAGCTGCGGTTACCATGGGAACGGCGCGGGTAGGGATGCAGGAGGGGGGGGGCAAGAAGGGAGGGGGGTTATGGGGGGGGGGGATATGGGGTGGGGGGGGACCGGCGGGTGGGTGAGGTGTACAAAGAGGGGGTGCAAGGGGGGATTTGGGGGAGTATGGGGGGGAGGATAGAGGCGGGGGGGGTGGAGGGGACAGGGTACAGGGGCCCCTCTGGGGAAACTGAGGCAAGGCGGGGTGGGGGGGGGGTGTTTTTTTCAACGTCCGCCGTGTCCCCCCCCCCGTTGCAGTGAGCCAGCGCCGTCCCCGGCCCGGCCGCCGTCGCCGTGAGCGCCGCGATGCCCAGCCCCGTCCGCCGCCCCCCCGGCACCCCCGGGCCGCCCGGTTTAACCATGTTACCGGCGGACGGGTCGGCGCTGCTGCGGGCCGTGGCGCAGGGCAAGTTTCGGCTGACGCGGCTCTTGTTGGAAGGGGGGGCCTACATCAACGAGGGCAACGCCGCCGGGCAAACGCCGTTGATGGCCGCGTGCCGGGCCGGCTACGCCGACCCGCCGGAGCAGCCCCGGATGGTGCGATACCTCCTGGAAAACGGCGCCGACCCCAACATCCCCGATAAAACGGGCAAGACGGCGTTGATGCACGCCTGCGCCGAACGCGCCGGCCCGGCGGTGGCCGCCGTTTTGTTGGCCCACGGCGCCGACCCCAGCGCCCGCGATTACGCCGGGGCCTCCGCTCTGGTTTACGCCATTAACCGGGGCGACCGGGAGACGCTGCAGGTGCTGCTGGATGCCTGCAAGGCCCGGGGGAAGGAGGTGATCATCATCACCACCGACACCTCGCCTTCCGGCACCAAAACCACCCGGCAATACCTCAACTCGCCCCCTTCGCCCGGGCTGGAGGGAAAACGCTCGCCGGCGCTTTGCATGTCGCCCTCCGACATCGAGGTGCGGACGGCGGCTTCACCGGCCGGCAGCGAGAAAGAAGAGGAGAGGGATGTTTTCTGCTTCCCCCCGCCGCCACCGGCACCGGTCACGGCCGTAGCGGAGCCCCCCCGCGCCCGGGGCCGCCCCCTGAAACGCCTCAATTCGGAGCCCTGGGGGTTGGTGGCCCCGGGGCCGGAGGGGCCGCGGGGTCCCCCCGAGCGTTTGGTGACGGGGCTGGAGGGGCTGAGCCTGGGCGGGCGCCCGCGGCGGCACAGCGTGGAGGGCCGGGAGGCAGCGGGGCTACCGGGGGCCGCCTGGGCCGAACGGGTGCCCCCCGCTTGCCCGCTGGCCCGCCGCAACACGGCCCCCGAAGCGGCGCGGGGCAAACCGCCTCGCTGGGAACCCCCCGAAATGGAGGGGGGTCCCTGGGCCGGATCGCCGCTGCCGGCCGCCGAGTCGCCCCCGGGAAGTCGCCGGCGCCCGCCCGGTTTGCTGGAGCGTCGCGGTTCCGGCACGCTCTTGCTCGAGCCCTTGGCCCCGGGGAGGGCCGGCTTCTTGCCCCCCCTGCACCCCGGCCCGCACCCCCCCGGCCCCCGCGGCCCCCCGGCCCCCGGCTCGCCCAAGGGACGCCGCAAGCTGCTGCGCCGGCACTCGATGCAGACGGAGGAGATGCGGCAGTTGGCCAACTTCCAGAGCAGCGTGGCCCCGGAGCCGGGCAGTTAGGGACCCCCCCCCCCCCCGCCGCGTCCCACCGTCACCCTCTGGGACCCCCCCGCCCCCCCCCCCGTGAAGGGAACACCCCGGGCGGCCGCTCTGACCCCGCCCGGCTGCTCTCATGCCAGCGCGGGGCCTCGTCGCGCAGGCGGGTGGCGATGTTCACTCTGAACCCTACTGAGGACTGCAGGCACGGGGCAGTTCTTCCATTGCTGCCAGCGGCAGAAACTTTGCACGACCCCAAATTCCTTCAGGAGCTGCTGTGTCCAGGCTCCTCTGCATCTTCCTCCCGCTCCCTCCTCATCCTCCCAGCAGAGCTTTTCCCTGCGGACCTTGGCAGCAGCCACCGATTGCCCCACCTGCCCCCCACTTGGGGGTCCCCACATCCCCCCCCCCCCCCCCATGCCAGGCGCTGCTCGGGGCTGGGTGCTGTGAGCAGTAACAGCCACCGGACCCCCTGTGTCCCTGGACGGTCCCTCCCTGGGGGGGGGGGGGGGGGTGTTGTGTTCTCCCCCCGGTTTTGGGGTGCGGGGTCCCAGCGAGGGGGTGCCAGGGTGGGAGTGGGGGGGCACACACTGTCGGCATCCAGGTCAATAAAGCCCCAGCACAGCTCAGCCTGTCTCCGAGTGTCGGGTTGGGGGGTGTGTTGAGGGGGAGGGGGGGGGTGGGCAGCACATCTGGGTGCCCGCACATCTGGGCAAGGGGTCCCCGATGGGTTTGGCTGCAGGTGGGGGGGGAGCCCGGTCCCCACAGGGCCCCATCCTGCGTGTGTGTGTCCGTCCCCCCCCTCCCCACCATGGGGGCACAGCCTGGGGGGGGGGGTGTCCCAGCGGGTGGGCGCAGGCTCAGCTCCGGTGCAGGTTGGGGGGGGGCCATCCCTGGGGGAGGGGTGGGGGTGTTGGCAGGGCCCCCCATGGCGGGGTGGGGGGACATCCCCCCCACCCCCCCACCCCAGGCTGTGGCGACAACCAGCACGGACCCAGATCGCGGGTTTCAGCGGGGGGGGGGGGGGTTGTGCTGCTCATGCACCGTTGGAACGTTTCGGGGTTTTTCCGGCAGACGAACAGCCCTTAACGTGTTTCCTTCACGCCCTCGCAGGGAACATTCAGGCGCTGACCTTGTGGCCCTCGCCCCCTCCTCGCCCCCTCCTCGCCGGCCCTCGCGCCGATTTCTCGCCTCTTCCCTCCCCGGGGGCCCTCGCTCCCTCCTCATCCTCTTTATTTCTCCCCAAAATCGACTGGGCAGGAGCTTCTCGGCGCTTGTGTTCGGGCTGAGGCTCCTGCTCCAAGTCCTGGAATTCATTTCCACGTTACCTTCTCCCGACTGCAGCCCCGGGGCTGGGGGCGGGGTGTGGGGTGTGTGGGGAGCCCCTGGACACCCCCCCACCCCCACCCCCGGTGCTGCAGTGGGGGGGTTGGGGCTGGGCTGGGCGCTGGCAGCAAGGTGGGGGGGGGGGGGGACACGACACGACACAGGCTGTGGAGTGGTACCGCGCTGGAGGGGGGACGCTGTTGGGGGGCTCTGCTGGGGCTGGGGCCCCCTGGATCTCAACCAGATCTCCTGCACCCTGTTTGGGACCCCCGAAACCCAGCCTGACCCCCCTGCACCCCAGCCTGAGCCCCCTGCACCCCAACACAACCCCCTGCACCCTAACACACCCCCCTGCGCCCCAACACACCCCCCTGCACCCTGCCTGACCCTCGGAACCACAACCAGACCCCCTGCACACTCAGTAGACCCCCTGCCACCTTGCCTGCAAAACACGCACTCTGTCTGGGCCCCCTGCACCCCAACCAGACCCCCTGCACCCCAACTAGAACCCCCTGAACTGTGTCTGAAACCCCAGCACCCCAACCAGACCCCCTGCACCCCAACCAGACCCCCTGATCCCCAACCAGACCCCCTGCACCCCAACCAGACCCCCTGCATCCCAACCAGACCCCCTGATCCCCAACCAGACCCCCTGATCCCCAACCAGAACCCCCTGCACCCCAACTAGAACCCCCTGAACTGTGTCTGAACCCCCCAGCACCCCAACCAGACCCCCTGATCCCCAATCAGACCCCCCGCACCTTGTCTGGGCCACGGGGTGAGATGGGGCTGGGGGCACCAGTGGGGCTGGGGGAGACGGTGACTTGGGGTGGAGGACGCCGTCACGGCTGAGGACACGGGGGCAGCACCCATGGGACACCCTGACCCCCGCCCTGCACCCACCTCCCTCCCACCCCCCCCCCCAGAGCTCAGCCCAGCTAAAAACACCCTGGGGGGGGGCAGGGGGGAGAGTCAGGGGGTCCCAGGGGGGTCCCGGGGGCCCTATGGGGATGGGGAGCAGGGTCAGCCCCACACCCCCCCCGCTGTCCCCCACTCTGCGGCCTCAGGGACAAGACAGGGCGATGGCAGGGGACAGGGGTGAGCAGCCTCATCCTGCTGGGTGCTGAGGGCGAGCCGCACCCCTGGGTGCTCCCAGAGCCGGAGGTGGGGGGGGGAACACGAGCAGGGACCACACGCGCCTCAGCCTTCATCCCCATCATCATCACCTCAGACCGGCACGTCGCCATCGTCAACCCCGCGGCGGCCGGTGCTCAGCCGGCTGATCCGACATCATCATCATCATCATCACATCACCATCATCACCACCACCACCATCACATCACCACCATCATCATCATCATCACATCACCATCATCACCACCACCACCATCACATCACCACCATCATCATCATCATCACATCACCATCATCACCACCATCATCATCACCATCACATCACCACCATCATCATCACCATCACATCACCATCATCATCACCACCACCATCACATCACCACCATCATCACCACCACCACCATCACATCACCACCATCATCATCATCACCATCACCACCATCATCATCATCATCACCACCATCATCATCACCACCATCATCATCACCACCATCATCATCACCACCACCACCATCATCACCACCACCATCATCACCACCACCATCATCACCATCACCACCAAGCTACGCCGAAGGCCGGCTGATCCCACGGGGAGCAGCGCACGGCTAAACAAACCTGGCACTTCCAAACATTGAAAATTAAGGAGAAACGGCTTTTTCAACTTAAAAGTTGTTCTGCTGCCGGCCCCGAGATTCAGGCAGCGACTCCGACTGGTTTTAGGCAAATCCAAAAATGAGCGAAGAGGCAGGAAAGGAACCGGCGCTCAGTTACAGCTTCACAGAATGTTTAATTAAGGACAAATAAGGAGAGGACAACTTTACACAAAATGAGTTATTTTAAAGGCTGAGTTCACTCGCAAACGTCTAAACAGACTAAAACCCCTCGGAGATTTACGGAACGTTTGCTTGGGGTATAGAAAACAACTTTTCTCCAAAAGAAGAGCGGCTAAAATGCCAGGTCACTCGCAGGCGTAACAAAATGTTTAAAAACGTTGTGTTTTGGGGCGTCACCGGGCTCATCCGCCACAACCACCAGTGAAAATCACCCCCGGAAACCTCAGGCCTTGCTTCTTCCGCTCGTGTTTTCCCGTCCGAAAACAATAAACTCTCGGAAGAACCAAACGTGCCGCTGAACTGTTTAACTCCTCCAGCCGTTCCCCGAACGCCCCGTCCCCCGCATACAAACCCCCCCCCGCCCCTTTCCCTCCCACCTCCCCCAGGTTGGACTCGGAACGCGCTCGGATCCATCACCGGCGTCTCCTGTCCGGACTCCTGCTCCGCCGGCGCCCGCCCCTGCAAGAGAGGGCAGAGCGTGGCGGGGGCCGTTATCGATAGTCCAACCCCCCTCCCCTCCCCGGTGACATCACTTGCTAATCCAGCTTCTACGCCGGAGTGACGTCATTAGCGGATACCTGACGTCATCCAGCTGGACTCTGGGAGGGCCCGTGTGCGATCCCACCCCCCCAAGAGGAACGGGCGCGACGCGCGGTGTCGCGGGGACAAGGAGTTAAAAGATTCAACGGCTCGACGTCCAAGCGGAAAGCCGTCCCGAGCGCTGGCCCCCCGCCCAGTGCCCACACCAGGACCGTAACGCCCTTCGTTTTGGGACGGGGGCGTTCAGCCACGCGGGCTGGTGGAAGGACCCCCCTCCCCGCCCCAAACCCTTCCGCGGCTGCCGGCGCCCTTTTACCTTCTCTTCCCTTTGGGGGGGCCTCTCACGAAGCACCAGTCCACGCTGATGGGCTGCCCCATCAGCTCCTGCCCGTTCAGCCCCTCCATGGCCGCCTGCGCCTCCTTATAGGTTTCGTACTCGACCAGAGTGTATCCCTGAGGGGCGGGAGGGAGCATGAGCCGCGGCGGATCCGGGAACCATCCCGCCCCGAGCCCGCTTGGACCCCGGCCGCGGCGGCAGAGCCGGGGAAGCACGAGCGCGCGTCGCATCCAGCCACACGTTAACATCCCTGTAAATATCCCCAGAGCGTCCCCGTCAATATTCTCGCAAATATCCCCGTGATGCCCCCACAAATATCCCCCTCATGTCCCCGTCAATATCCCCATCAGTATTCCCACAATGTCCTCATAAACATCGCCACAACATCCCTGTAAATACCCCCTTAAATAAACACCCCCATAAGATCCCTGTAAATATCCCCTTAAATAAACATCCCTGTAAATATCCCCTTAAATAAACATCCCCATAACGTCCCTGTAAATATCGCCTTCAACATCCCCTTCAACATCCCCGTAATCTCCTGATTAATATCCCCCCAAGTATCCCTGTAATACCCCCCCAAATATCCCCGCAGGGTAAAACGGAGGCGGCTCAGCAGCCGCGAGGCTCGGGGGGCAAGCGCAGCCCCCCCCCCCCCCTCCCACCTTCAGGTAGCCCGTCCGCCTGTCGAGATTGAGGTGGATGTTTTTGATCTCGCCGTACTCAGCGAATTTGTCATGGATGTCTTCTTCGGTCGCCTCCTCGTGAACCCCCGTGACGAAGAGAATCCAGCCCTCCACCGCTGCGGCGTGAGAGGGCTGAGAGTCACCGGAGGCTCAGCCCCGGGATTAAATCCCGCAAGGGCTCCGTCCCGGCGAGCCCTGAACGGCGGCACGGAACCCCGCGGTTCCCCCGCCGTCTCCCCTCGCCCCGGTGAGGCCGGGAAGGTGCCCCCGGTGATACTCACACCTCTGCGGGCCCGGCTCGTCCCCGTCCTGCTCCACGCTGTCGTAGTCCTCGCGCACGCGAGCCCGCGAGCCTTCCTCTGGGCACGGGGAAAGAGAAACGGGCGGCTGGTACTGGTACCGTCCCTCGGGAGGATGCCAAAGCCCAGACCGCCCCCCAAATAAATCCCTTTCAAGCACCCCAAAAGCACGGCGCCGGCGGGGTGCCCGAGTGACGCCGGGGGAAGCCCGGGGGGGACCCCGGCTCCCGGCCTGGGCGCTGCTCACCTGAGCCGAAGCCGCGGCCTTTCCGCTTCTTGGCTTTCTCCTTCAGCTTGTGGATGCTCTCTGCGGGGGGGAGAGGGGGGGAGCGCGTTGGAAGCGAGGAGGGGACCCCCGCCACGGCCCCGTCCGGCCCGGCGGGGCGGCGAGGGGCGCGGGACGGGGCCGGGAGCGGCGAGGGGAACGGGAGAGGCGCGGGGACAGGGCCGCGGGTGGGAGCCGGGCCCCGACCGGGGACAGGGCCGCGGGTGGGAGCTGGGCCCCGACCGGGGACAGGGCCGCGGGTGGGAGCTGGGCCCCGACCGGGGACAGGGCCGCGGGTGGGAGCTGGGCCCCGACCGGGGACAGGCCCGCGGGTGGGAGCTGGGCCCCGACCGGGGACAGGGCCGCGGGTGGGAGCTGGGCCCCGACCGGGGACAGGGCCGCGGGTGGGAGCTGGGCCCCGACCGGGGACAGGCCCGCGGGTGGGAGCTGGGCCCCGACCGGCGCAGCCTGTAGCGGGAGGAGGCGGGACGCCCCGGGCGGGCGCCGGGAGGGCTCTGGCCGTTCCGGGACGAGCCCCGCACCGCCCTCACCGTCGCCGTCCTCGTCCATGGCGAAATCTTCGCCTCCCGCCTCATGCAGATCCAGCACGTCCGCCATCTTGCCGCTCTCGCCGCCGCGGGGCACGGCGGGAAGCGCGCCGGAAGGGCGGCGCCGCCATCTTGGGGAAGGGGAGGGGCGCTCGGCGGCCGCCATCTTGGGGAAGGGGAGGGGCGCGCGGCGGCCGCCATCTTGGGGAGGGGAAGGCGCACGGGAGCCGCCATCTTGGGGAGGGGAAGGCGCACGGGAGCCGCCATCTTGGGGAGGTCACCGCGCCTCGTCCCGCCCGCACTGCCATGCAGGGAAGGGCGGGGGCGCCTCCCCTCGCAAAGTGGGGCCATACCGGAGACCACAATCAACCCCCCACGCACCCCCCAACCCCCCCTCCCGGGGGTGACACCAGTCTGGCTGCTCCCGGGGTGCGAGCCCCCCTGCACCGGGACTCTTCAAAAGAGAGGTGAGGGGCACAGCCCGCCCAATCAAGAAGAGAGAAGCCACCGCCACTACCCCAAAATCTATTTTATTGTATCAAATCATACATACAAACCGCAACGCTGTGCGGCGATTTATCCTTTCAGCTTTGCGTTTAACTATGTGGCCTGAACAAGGAGAACAACCCCCTTCCGGATGCTGAGAAAAACCTGGATTTGTTCATTTTATCACCTCCCAAGCGGAAGCGGAGACTCAAAACGGGTGCCTGTATTGCCAAAAACACACGTCACGGAATATCGGCTTTTCCTTTCCCAGGACGGATGGAAACACCATAACCCTCCCCGATTTGTTTTGCGAGCGGCTGGCGGTTTGTTGGCGAGCTCGTTGCGCGACCCGGCGCCGCAGGACAGAGTCACGGAGAGTTTGGCTAAAATCACTTAAAATCCCGAGGCGCAAAAAAATCGCGCGCGCCGCGAAGAGCAAAAGAACAGGGAGGGATTCTGCCAGCGGGCTGAGGGAGGTGCTGAGCGGGGGCTCCCGCGGTTCTGAGATCAGGCCGTCGGATAAATCACCGTTTCGCGCGACGCAACAACGCTACAGGCAGGTGGGGAAGTGCCGGGCTAGAGCACGTGATTAAATCCCAATGCAAGGTCTCGATATTGCCTGTAAAAAAAAAAAAAAAAAAAACAAAAACCCACCCCAAACCCCACACCGTTTACAATCGCATTTATAAACGCGTTAAACATTAATACTGTTGTGTAAAGAGGCTGCGTATAAAAAAATATATAAACACCCCCCCCCCCCCCCCCCAAATAGGCTTGTTAGGATGAGAATACAAAACTAGAATACCTACAGATAATGCAATTTTTTAAAATCTCCGTCTCAAAACAAAGACTATTGCTCAAATACCGCCTGCCTCTGCGGTCAAACACTGCGGGGGAGGCTGGTGCCGAGGAAGGGGAGGGCACGAGGGGCGGCCACCCGTGGAAATAGCAGAGTCCAGAAGGTTTTGTACCTCTGCCCCGGGGAAAAGAACCGGAGCAAGCTCAGCGCCACGCTGAAAAATAAATTTGTCCGCAATTTACATTCCCGCTGAGATGCTGCTGGCTCTTCCGGGCTACGTATTGGAAAAGTTGGGAGGGATACAGGAATTACCTACAGCAAGCTGCTGTTTTGTTGACTGAACTTGAGCTGTAGGAACACTTTAGTGTCAAAAAGGGCATTTTTTTAACTCTACACATCATATAGGTTTAGTACTGACAGGTATATAAAGAATAGGGAACTATTAATTAAAAAAAAAAAAAAAAGTGCATAACGACGTTTTTTGTTTCAGCACTGTTTTTCCTCGAGGAACGGCAAGCTCTGCGCGAGAAGGGCTGCTCAGCCCTCTGCTCTACCAGAAATCCTACGAATTGTCCCCAATACCTGTTTCCTGGCGGGGGGGGGACAGCTGCGGAGGGAGCCGGGCGCAGCGAGGGCTCAGAGCCCTTTATCTGTCGGGCAAAAGCCAAGTTGAGTTGAGGCCAAACCCTAGTCTGGGCTTTCGCTGCGCGGGGCTGGATCTGTGCTCTGGTTCAAAGGATTAAACACGGCTCTGGTTAACGAAGCCTTAAACACGGCTCTGGTTAACGAAGCCTTAAACACGGGCCTGGTTAACGAAGCCTTAAACACGGGCCTGGGTAACACCGACTTGTGTTCGCAAGGGAGAAGCTGAGCAGTTTCCCCTCTTACTGCTAGCGTGTTCTGAAACTCTGGCAAGGCTTTTTAAACCTCCCTTGGAAAGGCCAAGTCTGACATTTGGTTTGGAAGCTGCTCCGGAGAGAACAGCATGTCCATCTCTCATTTCGTGCAAGGTTTTCAAAAACTCACATCTCCCCAGCTCAGCTGAGGAAGCCAAAGAAACTCCCAACGCTCCATTTCCAGCGAAATGAACTGGCCCGCTTCATCCCCCTGCACCGACCGGTGGTGCCTGGGACAGGACTCCAGCATCTCCACCCTGCCAGGCTGGGCTAAACGCCCTAAAAACCCAAAGAGGACTGAAAAGGAGCGGAGCAGGAGGCTCTGTCTGCTGCAGACTAATTAAACTGCCAAGTCCAATCCCTGAAGTACTGCAGGGCCTTGGAGTTCGTTATTATTTCTCTTATTATAATGTGCATTATTTAGAGAACGAGGTATGTCCTACCCCACGAGTGGAAAGCCAGAGCAGGAACAGACAACAGCCACCCGACAGTTGTAGGGGGAACTGCGAATCCTGCCCGAGCTTGGGACTGACCTCGAGACTTAAGTCTGGACAAAACAAAATCCTGGTTTTAAATCCCTTTTACATGCTTGGGAGTATCCCCCCACGCAGCCTGCACTGTAGTGTTAAAGAGAATGCGCTGTTTGTTTTGTTTTGGCTTTTTAATTGGTGTGTTTATCAAGGAGTTCTGATTGATCCCCCTCTCTACTATAGAAAAAGAACGGGGGAAAATTTAAAAAAAAAAAAAAAAGCAGCAGGTGTCTGCATGGCATGCATCAGCTCTGAGGAACAGAAGCTTCCTGGAAGAAGGGCTACATTTCATTTCACGGAATACTGCTGACTATATAGTACCAACGTGGAGCGGAGCTCTTCAGCGTTAATACCGAAAAGCTGCGTTTTTAATGCTGTCTTTAAAAAAAACAGTGACAGAAGGAAATCTCTAGCAGACAGGAGGCCGAGGAGTAGGTCTAGAAGCAAGTATTAAAAGGTTTAAAAATCTGTACAGGAGCTTTTTCTTAAAAAAAAAAAAAAAAAAAAAAAATTTCTTTAAAATGTGCAAATGGGCCACAATTCTGGAAGAGGCATTACATGCTTTACGTGAGACGGGACGGCTCCCGTCGGTGTGGAGGTGTTAGTGGGCCTGGGGGAGCGGAACGACTCGCACGCCAGTCTAGCAGTTGGAGGAGTGCATGCTCCCCAGCTGGCCCGCCGCCAGCATCAGGATGTCTTTCTTCTCCTTGTGGAAACGCAGCTCCTTCCCAGCCAGGCGGGCTTCGTCCAGCTCTCTCTCCGTCGAAGCCAGCTCTCTGGAAAGGGCCCCGGGGCTGTTCTGCTCCCTGTTCACCCAGTCCATGGCCATCTGGTTCCTTATGTCGTCGTCCAGAGCGCGGTGGGAGTAGTGAGCCAGGACCTCCTGGTGGTAACGGAGATATGCAGGGCGGCTTAGGAAAAGACAAGTCGCTACACGGGGCGCACGTCGCTCCGTCGCATCTGGCTTCCTCGCCAGGGTGGGGAGCTTGGGGAGCGGGTTGGTGCGACCCCCACACGCCCCGAGGAGGCCCGGACTCACCTGCCGCGAGCACTGCCTCTCCCGCATGGCTTTGAGGCTGCCGTTCCAATGCAGCAGCTGGAAGACGGTCATCAGCTCCTGCAACGGCAAGAGGAGGTCAGGGCTGCGAGCCAACGCGGGGACCGGGACGCGGCCTGACGAGGAGTCAAGCCGGTTTCTCGCTACGGGAGCCAGAAGCCGGGGAGGACTTTGCAACGTCACCCCCGGTCCTTTGCAATCACAAGGCTCGCAGGGTACGGCTGCAGCCCCAGAGTCCATAAACAAAAGGTTTCCAGCATTCACGAGTTCGGATTTATCGAAAAGAGGAGAAAACCGCAGCAGCGGGGGAGGCCGGAGGCACCACCACCATCCTCGGAGCCAGGGTGCAAGGGCAGAGCCCGGCTCACCCCACCGGACAAACGTCCCCCGGCCAGGCGCGTGGATTTACAGAGGAGACAGAGACGCTGGTGCTTCCCCTCTGCCCCAGGGATCTGGGGATTCTGCAAGCAAGACCCTGTCATCTCGCAACCTCCAAGCCAAACCACCACCCGGAGAGGGTGACAACCCAATGTTTTCCAAGCAAACATTTCTCTCTCAAGGCCACACAGATTCTTCTCCATGAACTTGCAGCGACTAGTTAGGCTTCCCAAACACAAACCCAGCCTAAGGAATATACATAACAGAGTCACCCTGTGTAAACAGGCCCATTAATATAAACACTTCTGTCTTCCTCCTGCAGAGTATTTCCATTCAAGGGAAACGAGCCAGGCAAGAAGGCAGCTTTGGGAAAAGGTTGCCTACAGCAAAGAACCCCAAATACAGCCACGCTACAGACTCAAGGCACCTGCTTTGAGAGGCATCCAAACCCTGCCCCGCTGTCTGGAGCAGAGTGATGGTCTGGCTTCTCCTCTTCTAAAAACCCAGTTCCAGCTGGTGCACTTAGAGTCAACCTGTCTGCACAAGAACCATCTCGAGTTCCTTTTGAAGCCCAAGTTTCAATGAAAAGGACTCACGAATCTCAAAGCACCGTCTTAACGCCGTCTCCGTATGTGCAGGGACAGGCATCCAGCCTGGCAAGGAGGAGCGTGCTCAGAGGCTATCAAGTCACATGCAGAATTCAGCGTTTTCCCCCAGCAGTCTGTACTTTTTGGTACTGTGCAGGTAAAGAAGACTGCTCTGCTCGTAGGAGCGGTTTCCTCCGAGAGGCTGGAATAAAGCCCAGCTCGGTTCTCAGTCATCTGTTCTGCACGGACTCCTTCTGCTCCATTAACCAGAACTGATAAGTGTTATAGCAGTTTCCCTCAGCAGTTTGTGCTTCTCATTTCACAGATGTTTTGTCATAACGAGAGACAGACTGAGCATATTTCAGTAGGATAGGAAGACTGCTCAGATAACACTGTGGTTTGAGGGCATGTAACGACAGTAATCAAGGCTCCTAATTCCACAACCAAAATGTCTTTGGATGAAAGATCTTCACCAGCTTTCCTAAGGGAAGCGAGGCCTCTCCCGCTGTACAGGGAGAGGATAAAAAACACAAAGGAAACAGCTCACTTAATGCCCTGAATTCAGGTACCTGGAGGCAGCGCTTGGACCTCCGGCGCCAGTTATCTAAACGCTACGTCACTGCCAACACGCAATCAGAAGAATGCAGAGTCCTTTCACTGAGGCATGCAGCTATCAGAGAGCGTTTACAGAGACAAGCCCAATTCCAAGAATTTTGCTGCTATACCATCACCTGCAAGTGCCATCAATCCCAAACTGTGTTGTAAGAGGAACGCCCCACTTTTATTTTGAATATAAAGCACCACAGATGTAGCGGAAAGATCAAACCAACCACCCCTCGAGCCGTGTCATTAAATTATGAACAATACCTGGAACTCCAGCATTGATTTTCCCTTGTTGGATTCCAGCATGAAGCGAAAAGCCCCGATCCCGGTGTTGGGATTATCAGCTTCCTCTCGATTGCCCTGCAAGAGACATTTCAGACAAGAGCTGTGATCCCCAACCAAGCGTGGCTCACCTGGAACCTGCCACTTGTGCTACGTCACCTCCACTTCAGTAATTCCAGGTCAGGTTAAGGAGGACAGCCTGACACTGGCAGACGCACTAAACTGTCTAATTCAGCCTCAAATATCTGCATCGTTCACTACAGCTCTCCCGGAGTAACAAAGCCCGCTCTGCTTTTGACAGTGCCACGGGATTTTTTTCTGCAGCCCATGATGGCAATTTTTCTTACAATACTCTGGGTACCATCAAGCACCATGTGACTACACAGCAAGAACTCCCTCCAGGATAAGGTATAATTAGAGCAGTAAAAGAAGAATGCACAGCTCCTGCTGCTAGAAATAAAGTTTCTGGAAAACATTTGGTTTAAAGAAAGCTAGCCAATGTGACGGTCTGGCCACAGAAGGGCCATGTGAATCAACAGCTCCGTCTTACTATCCCACCCTGCCTGAGCCGAGGGCAGCACGATCAAACTCAAGAAGTGTGAGACTGTGTGGGAGGGGAAGCAAGAGAACAAGAATTAAGAGCTACAGATCAAGTTTTAATGCTCAGAAGTCACTGAAAAAACCCTGCCATAAAGAGTTCCAGATGTAAAAGAAAACTTCTCTTCCCACGATTTGAGTTTTTTCCCCAGTCAGTCCGTCCCCATCGACTGCAGCCGTCTGGGCACTGACAAGCCTTACGTTGAAAGATGCCAGGGCTTCCGAAACACTCTTCTCAATGAACTCGTCCGTGATCCTCCGGGAGGGATGCTCATTAAAGACCGAGTTCATTAGCGCAATCTTCGCAGCACTCCTGCGGGCTTCAGCCTTGGTTGGACAGAACTGAGGAGAGACAAACACCGTCAGGACAGAAAGACAGCGAGATGGCCCAGATCCCTTCGGCCCCGACACACGAAATGGGAATTAGGTGGCAGTGTTGTGTAGTTTTGGAAAGTCGTGCTCTCAGACATCCTGAAATCATTAGGAGCTGGTTTCAAACCACAGCTATCCCAACCACGCTAAACACAAAAATTAGGCAGGCAGCTGAACTCAGCACATAGTATCTGCATCAGGAAACGCCACCGATCAGCTCGTCAACAAAATTAATTAGCTTAAAACCAAAACGTAACCAAATTACTCGTAAGCACAAGGACTGCTCTTCAGGATGGGCAGAGCGTGGAGCTGCTAGAACTGTTTCTTTTGGATACGTTCTTCAAACCAAGACTAGAGAGTAACTGCCTAAAGCCACTACAGCAAAGGAATCCAAGATGCAGTCAGGACCCGTTGTGATTTTTGGACCTTAATCTTTCGGGTGAGGTATTTGGGTTGGACATTTGCCTTTTAAACAGAAAGAGAGTAGAAACTATTGATCCAATGTTATGATTTGATTTCTAAAGTCTTTTGGCACCTTGAGAAGAGGCTCTGGGTCAAATCCGGAGCCCTTGCAGGGAAATATTCCTCTATCAGTGCGTCCGAGCTGCATCCTGTCAACACGTCCCACTGCTTAATCCTGGGAAGGAGGACCAAATTTCGAAACCAGCCAACCTACCAGTTTTTTTCTGAGAGCACATATCTGGCCTCAGCTCTGCTAAGGTCCAAGTCAGTCGCGTGTAGGGAATACAGTACATACAGCAGAGTAAAATGTACAGCCCGACCTTCCTGGATTGAAGTTGTGTGGGGTTTTATAGGTAATTAGGAAGACTTACTAGCCAGCCCAAAATTAAGGAGGGTTACAGTCAGACCCATGTCGCTCTCATGCTTCAAATCAGCAGGAAAATGTGCCCAGTGCAGAGGGGTATCTGAGCACTAATGCTGGGGGGGAAGGATTCTCAGGGCACCCAAGTTAGACTGCTCTGGAGAGGGAGCTACACCGCAGGGCCGGCTTCCAACCCGGCAATCGTACCTGGAAACTGCCAAAGCAGCTCCCTCCCGGCAAGGTGACGTAGCAGACGTACGGGGGACTGTTGGAAGGGACCATCTCGTACACCACGAGGGCTCCGTTTTTCAGGTCGGCTCCGCGCGACTGCTTCATCTGCCAGAACTCCTGCAGGGCCTCCACGACGTTCACTGAGGAAACAGAAATAAAACCGAGTTCAGACACACAAAACGAGAGCCTGGGAAGCTGCTTTCCTCAGGCATCAGCCGCCAGGAGTGGCCGCATCCCGAAACGGGACGGCATAAACGTCAGTGTGTTCCCACCTACACAAGCAGGGCCCTGCTCAGGGAGCCCAGTTACGTCTCTTATTAAAAACCACCTGCCTCAAGGGAAGCTGTAGGTGCACGATGTCAACACGAGCACGCCTCTCCCAGCAAGGGGGATGGAAGGAGCACCGCCGAGTTATAAAAGAAAGCTTCCTACAGAAAAGCTCTTCCCGTCCCGACAAACTTAGGGAAAAGCTTCCAGAAGAGGACTTGGAAAAGGCTGCAAGGGCAGCGAGGCATTCTTCCTTCGTAAGAGGGCTGCCAACAGGCTCGGCAGGTTTGCTCGCCTGCCTCAGCTGATCCTCAATATTGACATTCTTATGTTTAAGGTAAAAATAAAGCAGCTGACCTGCGCGTGCACCGTCAGGCCTGCAGAAACCACCTGCCTTTATGCTGAACATCACGTACCTAGCTCCAGGCAACCCGATGGGAGGCACAAGAAGCGACCTGAGGTGTAAAGCTGCCTCCTGGCAGAACTCCCTGTAATTTGCGTGGGCGTATTTAACCGTCACGCAGAGCGTGTGCAACTGCATGGAGGAGAATGGAAACATCTGATCGGAGAACCTCGTTTGTACCATTCGGCCGGGGAGGACATATAACCAAACAGTGAATCACAGGATAAAGCCAGGATTAGCTTTGTTACAGTAAGGGGGTTTTCCATCCCAGTTAGGAAACCAGAGCCTAAAACGTTAACCCTTGTTGATTCTGGTAATTACAGTCTTTTCAGGAGAAGTTGGTTTTAAGCGGGCACCTCTTCTGGAGCACCAAATTTGCTACATGGGGTTTGGGCACTTGCCCAGCTTTAACAACCGGGCAGCTAGTCCACACCATGCACAGGCAACCAACGCACACAGCCCTCGCGGCGACCGGCTTGTAGCCCAAGCCTGTGAGATTAAATTCTTCTTATTTTAATATGCATGCAAGAACTAGGGGTGTCTGCTGTAACAAAGAGCCAGCTGTCCTGTCGCTCTCTTAATTTGTGAATCCCCAGCACCGTGAGAACTTCCTCCGAGCTGTTCTAAGTTTACCCACCTTTTATTTCGTCAAGGTTTGGGCAAGAAAAACAAAACTCACAGCATCTAACACTCTAATTTGCTCCAAGCTTCTTTCTGTGCTGTAGAGTTTGACAGGTAGCTGTAGGAAAAGCCTGCCCTCAGCTCTTCCTCAGCACTCTAAATCTTTCTAATCTCAGCAACTGCTTTGAAGCAAGGCAATCTGCAAAACAGATTACAGCAACTCCTCACTAACGCCAAGCTGTTAAAAGGACACTACCGCAGAGCTCGCTTGCTCATTAAAATGAGAAAATAACCCCCAAATCCCCTCCCAGATTCTCCTGTGAGGAGCTGCACACAACGCAGAAAGCAGGGAGGCAGAGCACCTTTGCTGTTCTCAAAGGCTCCCAGGGTAAAACAGAAAAGGGGGATTAATTTGAGGCCACGAGTGACCGTGCGATGCCAAGCCCACAAGTCATCCTGGTTTAGCTTTTCAGTGCCCACCCAGCGCTGTAACTTTTTCAGCTTTCAGGAAGACGGCGAGCTTGAGCCTTTTGCTTTGTTTTATTGCTTTCTGTAAGATGAAGCCAGGCAAGGAGTCACTACCACAGTAGTTCCTCACTAAGCATTTCCCTTCTCTTTCAACCACAGGCTTTTCAGGGCATTTGTTCATAAAGCAGTCGCTTTGGATTATTTTCAAGTTTAATTTGGTTGAGTTTGGGTTTCTTTTTTTTGATGAAACATGCAAGACAGGGGCAATTTTCCACTGAAGACTTAACAAAAAGCCATACAAACAATACAGAGTTCCCTGCCAGTTCATCAGTGCACCAATACCCAGCCAGACTTCCCCTCCATCCAGGCAGATTCCCTTCCCAGGGACAGCATCAGTCATGCACATAATCCCCCAGGGATTTGGGGAGACAATGCCCGATTCACTAACGGCTTCAGGGACCGTTTGGCACGAGGCAACTGAGACTTCGCAGCAGCGACCACACAAGAAACTGCAGAGAAAAGCTGAGCTACATCAGGCAACGCAAATTCTCATGACACATGGAATTGCTCTGAAAATTCAGAGAAATTATTATAGCTTGCTTTAATTTAGTGAAGTCTGAGAAGCTGGCATTAAGAGCAGGTTAATGAGGAAACACCATGCGACACATGCACGGGCAGAGTTGTGTTTTCAGTCCAAGACAAGGGTTCCTCTGTGCCAGACACTGGCCGGGTACTTCGTTAGTGACTGGAGCAATAGGTCAGACAGCTGAGATGCATCCAAAAGAGGTTTTTTCCCCCCAGACTGGATTCAACCCTTCCAGCTGCCACAGGCAGGGTGGTTTTAGGAGACGAGAGAGTAAAATACTTAATTGAAACTCTGCAAATACTTCAGAACAATCTGCTTTTATAGGGCTGGAGAGCAAACCGCGTTGCTCCGAACGGAGATCTGCCCGTCTGCCCCCTCCTTCCCAGCACAGCTCCGGCTACAATGCTGTGCCTGCCGTATGTAGCAGACAAACACTGGCTGACTGTTGCAGCGTGCTGAATCCAAAGCGAAATTTTAGCCTCAATTAGTCCTGGATCGATGATTTTCAGCCTTGCTCCCTCACCCCCCTCTTCCTATTAAATCACAAATTAGCGACGTGAGGGAAAGAAGCAGGAGACAGAAAGTTTGCTTTCATTTACAGAAAGCATCCTAAATCCTGTTACGTCTCACGTTTGCAAGAGGATAGTCCTCAAATGCGGGGACGCCTTCTGCACCCTGAAGGATTTTAATCCCGTACGGAACACAAAAGACAACGCTCAGTCTGGGGAGGGGGCAGAGAGAAAAACGACCGGATGGTTTGAATGCAGGTAAAGCTGCTGAAGAAATAACGTTATCTTTGCACCTTGCACGAGGTCGTGTTTAAAGGGAAACCCGACGTGTAAAGAAAGGTATTTTAAATGCCTGCAATTAGAACCAGCTCAAAACATTGGAACTCTTCCTGTCAGCATCAGCCGATACCATTTGAGCTGCTTGTGTGCATTTCTGAGGGCAGGAACTGGAAATGCCGTTCCCCTAGAGAAACTCTGCCACCCATCTGCGTGGGGGAGCCCTGCAAATTTACAGAGCACAGCTTAACCCACACGGGGCGGCTCCTGTCAGAGTCTCACCCTTTAGACTTGCCACTCCAAGCAAAGATGAAGAGAAGCTGGGAGACACGAAGCAGAGCCTGCTCTGACCATCAGTCATATCTGTTTATTGCTTTGGAGCATAACCCCGGATCCCGGCGTCGTGTATACGATAGCACATCTGACTTGCATATTAAATACAGAAGAGTAAGTGATTCCACATGGCGCTGAGCTGCTCCGGAGCCAGGCGAGCAGCAGTTCCCCTGCACGCCGGTGGTGCCGGCTGCCAAGGACTCACCATTTGGAAGCCTCCGACCGCCTCTGTTGGACCTGCTGCCGTAGCCGGAAGAAGCTGGGAACTCAAAATAGTTGCAAAGTGTCTCCTTTTGGGTGGGGTGGAAGATTCTTTCCATCATGGGGCCAGTCAAATATGTGCTTTAACCTTTTTTCTTGCTTCTGTACTTTTTGGGTTTTTTTCTTTTTTAAATAAGGAGGAGTGTACAAGAAACACAGATCTGAGACTCCTCCGGGGGCTCTCGCACGACCGGGTGCCTCTGATGCAATACTTGGAGCCCCGCGGTGCCGGAGCGTGGTGGAGTACTTAACACCCCCGCACCGGCCTCCTCCAGCACCAGCAGATTCCAAAGTTGATTTTTCCTCAGTTTTTCATCAACAAGGTGCAGCCGTGCGGAGCACAGAACTGAGGGGGGGTCCCAGGAAAACTGCAGCTACTGGGAATGGGCAAGGATTGCCCAAGTGGAGCCCTCTTCGTTGCTGCCCTCGTTGAAAGAAATGAGCTTTTTTTTTTTTTGGTCCTGACATCAAGTTGAAGTAAAGGAATTATATATAGAGGGACTAAATTGCTACTGCACAAGAACAATCCTCCTTCTTAAAAATATCTAGAAAACTTTTTTTGAAAAATAATCATCCTCCACCTTCTCTAACTTTGTCACACGTTTATGTGTTACAGCTACAGCACAAGTAGAAAACTTCCTCAGCTTTAAACCACTTGTCTGCCCAGCTCAAGTTCCTTCATGGTCACCTATATACTTGCCTACTCCTACTTTGTCTTCTCTCTCTAATTTACAAAAGCAAAAAAACACGTCAAATTAGGTATCTGAAAACAGTTGATACCATCAAAACAAAAGTCTGCATTTAAGAGGCCACACAGCTTTCTAAGAAAATGAAGATCTGTGAGTGTTTCTCAAGCTTGACCCCTGAAACCATGAGACTCCTTAGGGAAAAGGCAGACCCAGAGAAACCACAGACTCTGCGGTTTTATTTTACTCACTTTTAGTTTATGTACTTTCCCATTTTTGGCGCGAGCAGTCCCAGACAGATTGGGCCAGAACGGGGATTCTCCTTCCCTCCCCACGCTCACCTTTAACATCGCCCAAACCATACAAGCTCCTTCTGCACAGCCAGGGGATCCCAAGCACCAGGGCTGAGACAGCAGCAGATGCTGGCAGACTCTCCACAAAGGGCACAAAACGCTTATTACTCATATCTAACCTATCAACAACATCAAGGAAGCCTCCTTGGGCACCCTTACAGCCCATCATACAGGCAAACCACCAGCTGAAAGCCACAAGGACAGGGAATATACGGCCATGGGAGAGGTTCTCGATTCCCGTCTTTTCTCTAAGTCATAGAGCTGCAGGGAAAAAGGTGCTCGAAGCTCGGTGGTGGGAAGCCAAGGGAAGCAGAGCCCTCACCCCATAAGGCTTCCAGGCGAATTCCAGGGAAGGAAGAAAGTCTTGGAAAAGTTCACACCTTAAAGCTTATGCTGGAGAAGATACAGAAGAGGGAAGGGTAGCGCAGACCAAAGAAAATGAGTTGTAACAGGGATCCCAGATGAGGGAGAATTAATGGGGAAGGAGGGCTGCGACAGGAGAGTTTCAGACACAAGGCTGGAAGGAAAAGAGGGAGCTGACAGGGAAACACCCCGAGAAGATCCCAGACCTTACATCGATGGGATGGGAGACAGGGCACTGTGGCTCCAGCACCGAGGGGGGGAGGAAAAGGGGCAAAGACGAACCCCAGCCCTGGGGATAGGGACTGCGCAGGAGGAGGGAGATGCTGCTCCCATCCCTGGGGAGACGCTGCTCCCATCCCTGGGGAGACGCTGCTCCCATCCCTGGGGAGGAAGGGGCGATGGGGAATAAGATGGAGGGAGAAAGCAGCTCAAGCCGCAGAGGAGCCAGCCCCGAGCGAGAGCATCGGGAGGGCAGCCCCGGGGCAGGGGCTGACACAGGGGAAACGGGGAGAGAAGGGGCGATGCACAAGCAAAAGGTCTCCCTCCGGATCCCTCACCCTCAGCCCCCCCCGGCCCGCCCCGCCGCTGCCCGCCCCCCCCAGCTCACCGCGGCCGTAGCCCTGCGTGTGCTTGGCGAAGCTCCTCACCACCGCCTCCACCGCCTCCCGCAACACGGCGGGCGGCCCGGCCCCGGGCGGCGGCGGCGGCGCGGCCGGTCCCTGCAGCCCCAGGGGGGGCGGCGGCGGCGGCAGCCCCAGCCCCAGCCCCAGCCCGGTCGGGGGCGGAGCGGCGGGCAGCGGCGCCGCCACGGCGGCGGGCGGAGGGGCGGGAGGCGGCGCTGAAGCGGCCCCGGTGACGCCGGGCCGGAGGGAGCGGAGCGTCCCCACCCCGGGCTGCAGCCGCTGCGCCCGCACCGACTCCATCACCGCCGCCGAGCCCCGCTCCGAGGGAGAGCGCCGCGGCGGGGGCGCTGTCACTCACCGCCCGAGGGGCCAATGGGCGTGGAGATCACCTCAGGGAGGGGGCGGGACGGCAGTGGGGGCCGACCAATGGCGGCGCGGAGGGGGAGGGCGGTGGCGGGGAGGCGGTGACAGCGGGCAGAAAGCCAATCGCAGGGCAGAACTTCGGGGGGGGGTGGGCGGGCCGAGGGAAGGAGTGACCAATCAGAACTCGGGGACGGGGAGGGCCGCGCTCTCCTTGCTTACCCCAATCACACGCGGGGGGGGGGGGGGGTGCGGACTGGAGGGACAGCCGCCCAATCGTGCTGCAGGGGTGATTATAATGGCAGAGGAAAGAACCAATCAAAATGCAAAGCAGCACGGCTGGGGGGCGGGAAATGGCAAAACCAAAGGCGCGGGCCGTCTGTCCTCCCGCCGGCCGCCAGGCGGCGCTGGCCCCGCTGCCGCTTCCGGAAGCGGCTCCGCGCCACCCTCCTCCGCTTCCGGTCGCCGGCCCGCAGCGGGGAGCGGCCATGGAGGGCTGGGTGCGCTTCAGCGCCCAGAGCCAGGCCAAGGAGCGGCTCTTCAGGTGTGGGGCGTGGGGCAGGCTGCGGCGTGGGGCTGCTGGGGCTCCCCTCGCCGGGGCAGGGCGCCTCACGGAGGCTCCTCACGCCGCGGTGTCTCTTGCAGGGCCGCGCAGTACGCCTGTGCCTTGGCGGGGGACGCGCTGCGGAGGAACGGGGCGAGCGCCGGCGTCCTGGCCAGCCTTCAGCAGCTGGAAGCTCACCTCAGCCTGGGCCGCAAGCGTGAGTGGGGCCGGTGGGGAAAACAGCGCCCCCCCCCCCCCCCCCCCCCCCTTTCTGTGTGCGTTTGGTGACCGTCTGTCTGTCCGTCTGTCCTGCAGTGCTACGCCTGGGTAGCTCGGCCGAGGCGTTGGAGGCGGCGAAACGGGCCATCCACCTGTCGGACATGGTGCTGCGGTTCTGTGTCACCCTCAGCCACCTCAACAGGGCCATGTACTTCGCCTGTGACAACGTCCTCTGGGCAGGGAAGACGGGGCTGGTGCCCAGCGTGGAGCAGGAGAAGTGGAGCCAGCGGTCCTTCAGGTGAGGGGCTCGGGCAGCTTCCCGGGTACCCTTAGAACCACACAGTTATAGAATCACGGATTGGTTTGGGTTGGGAGGGACCTTAAAGTCCCCCCAAGTGCCACCCCTTGCCCCGGGCAGGGCCCCCTTCCCCCGGCCCAGGGGGCTCCCAGCCCCGTCCAACCTGGCCTTGAACCCTTCCAGGGAGGGGGCAGCCACAGCTGCTCTGGGCACCCGGGGCCAGCACCTCACCCCCCGCACAGGGAACAGTTTCTTCCTAATATCTAATCTAAAGTTTCCCTATTTCAGTGTAAAACCATCACCCCTCATCCTACCCCCACCCCCTGATCCAGAGTCCCTCCCCACCTCTCCTGCCCCCACTTTAAGCCCTGGGAGGCCGCTCGAAGGTCCCCCCGGAGCCTTCTCTTCTCCAGGCTGAACCCCCCAACTCTCTCAGCCTGGCCCCCCAGGGGAGCTGCTCCAGCCCCCCCAGCATCTTCGTGGCCTCCTCTGGCCCCGCTCGAGCAGCTCTGTGTCCTTCTGCTGTTGGGGGCCCCCGAGCTGGCCCCAGCACTGCAGGGGGGTCTCCCCAGAGCGGAGCAGAGGGGGAGAATCCCCTCCCTGGCCCTGCTGCCCCCCCTGCTCTGGCTGCAGCCCAGGGCACGGGTGGGTTCTGGGCTGCCAGCGCACGGTGCTGGCTCACAGGGGCAGTTTTCCTCCCACCAACCCCCCCAGTCCCTCTCCTTGGGGCTGCTCTCCAGCTGCTCCTGGCCCAGCCTGGGTTTGTGACCCACCCTGGGGCGAGCAGGTTTCTCGCGTCTCTTTTGCTGCCCCACGGCGTGGGAGTGGAAAATGGGGTCCAAGCTGCCCCCCAAGCACTGCATGCAGGGGCTTCTCCCTTCCTTGCACCGTACTGACAGCAGGGGTGGGCACCTTCGGCAGAATGTGGGCTCTTTCTGCACAAGACGGGGGTTTTAGGACATTTTATTTTTGTGGCCAATACGGAAACAGCTTCAGGCTCCCGGTATCGCAGCCCGCGGTCCCCAGCACTGTTTGCCCGCTCTCCCCTTGCCCCATTCCTCTCCCTTCTTTGTCAGGTATTACCTCTTTGCCCTCGTTGTGAACCTGAGCCGGGATGCCTACGAGATCCGGATCCTGATGGAGCGCGAGGCGGGCGGGAAGCGAGCGAAAGGCGCCGGGAACGGCTGCCAGCTCCGGGCTGACACCGGGCTCCAGCAGCTGGGGCTGAGGCTGCAGATCCAGCTCCAACTTCTGATCCACGTCCTCCGGAACAACCCTCCTCTGCTGCTGGACGTGGTGAAAAACGCCTGTGACCTTTTTATCCCTCTGGACAAGCTGGGGCTGTACAAAACCAACCCGGGCTTTGTGGGGCTGTGCGGCCTGACCTCCTCCATCCTCTCCATCCTCACCATCCTTCATCCCTGGCTCAAACTGAAGCCTTAGTCATCCTCAGAGCCTGCCTCCGGGCTCCAAGCCGGCGCAGGCAGATATTTGGGGACCCTGGGGGGTTACTCCTGGGGCTGGGACATGACTAAAGCTGACTGGCTCGGTCCTGTCGTGTGCAGCTGCGCGTTCCCGTCACGCCTGGCTGCCGTAATAAAAACGGGAGGAAGGTGGAGGGAGTTTGCGGCGTCGGAGCCCGCAGGGACCTGCCCCGGCTCCCTGTGGCGCCAGCGAGGAGGGGGATACTCAACGGACCTAAATTTGTTCCTTTTCCCCATTGACTGTAGGGCCTCGCCGGCCGTTTTAGGGCTTTGTTTCCCCTCCCTCTTTAGGGGGGGTCTCTTAACACAGAGCCAGCCAAGAGGGAAATACTTGGGGCCGGAGAAGGGGGCCTGGGTCTCCGGGTGCTTCTCCCAGGCTGAGGAGGGGTTAAGCCACAAGGTGAGGGTGAGTGTAGCGCTGGCCAGGTGCATCCGACGCCTGTTTTGACGCTTTATCTTCCCTTTTAAGAAATCTAAGAGCAGACAGAGGGTGAATTGAAAGGACTTTGGCCGCGGCTGCGCCGTGCCCGGCTGGGTGTTCGGAATTGAACTTGGGGTAAGTCCGTGGGGTCTCGGCCGGGCCCGCCCTGCCGCCCGCTCGTGGGGTTGGGCTGAGATCGGGGCACATTTCCCCGTAGGAGAATATTCTCTTGCCTGCCCCTTCCCCACGCACCCGCTGGGGAAGCAGCGCTGCCACCTCGCTAAATTTGCCCGTTTCCCCTTGGTTTCTGCGATGCCAGCGGACACCGCGGGTTTGGCCCCGATCTAAAAAGGGTTTGACTTAAGGATGCGCTTGGGGCGGGTGAGATAATTTATACCCAGAGGTGTGTTGGGTTTGTGTGTCCAGCCCCGGCTCCAGGACCCTCTGGGTGTTTTCCGTTCGGCTTTCGGTGGGCTCTGGGGTGATACGGGGAGGGGAACAGCCGGCTGGCTGGGAAATGGTGAGTGCGTGTGCGTGTCCCCCCCCCCCAAACTGAGCCCAACCCGAAGCTTTAGCAAAAGGGAGTTTAATTCCGCCGGCTAATGAAGGAGGTGGCTGGGAGAACGCGGGGCCTCTGCCTGGCTCAGGACGAGCCACAGGGACCCCAGCATTTGGAGGGCGAAAGCTGCACCCCCAGTTCCCCCTCGGCTGGCAGCCAAGGGCTCAAGCGAAGCCTCAGCTCGGGCCTCGGAGACTTTGAGCCCTCGGCGGGGAAGGTAAATCCCTTCCGCGAGTGGAAAGCGGCCTCCGCGGTTTTCATGCAGCGGAGCAGGATTCTAACGGCTCCGGGTTGCTGCGCCGGGTCGCGGCATTAGGTGTTAAATCCCGGTTGCTGAGACGTCGCCGTTTTCCTCCATCTCTGTGATCTAAGAATGCGTGGTTGCTCGGTGTGGTGACTTCCCAACACCCCCCCACCCCCCCCCCATTTATTTGGGGTCCTTGTGGTGGGCTGCACCGACACCCCTTTCCCACCCCCCTCACCCTCCCGCCGCGGTGGTAACGAGCCGAGGGCTCGTTAGGGCTGCGCCGGCCTCCTGCCCCAGCCCTTTTCGGAGCAGATGGGGGGCATTTGGGACCCTGGGGGCTCGCTCTGCAGCAAACCCCCCCCACCGTGCTTTTGAGCTCAGTTCATCTTTTCCTTGTATTTTTTTCTCCCCCCTCTCTGGGAATTTTATTATTTTTTTTTATTTTTCTCAGCCGCTCTGGGTCTGGCCTCCCCTTTTATTACTGTGGCTGGAGGGGGGCTCAGTGCCCCCCCCCCCCCCTCCCCTCGCCAGCCCCAGCTTCACCTGCTTTTGACGAACCATCAGTTCCCTTAGAAAAGGGAAAATCAGCCCTAATTGGGCAAGGGGCTTCGTTAGCCAGAACCTGGGGCTGAGGGGTGGGCTTGGCAGCCTGGGGGGTCCTCACAGTTCTGCCCCACGCCAGGACGTGGAGGTCTGGGGCTCAGGGGGTTTATTATAAATTACTATGAAATTGCTATTAATGAAAACATATATATAGAGAGAGAGTGAGAGAGAGAGAGATAATGTATGTTATATCTGGGTTTATATATAGAAGTATGTCACAATTAGTTTATTTAATTTTCCTAGTTTATTTATTTTTAAAATTTTAATTTTAAATTTTAATTTTAAAATTATAATTTAATTTGCCATTTAAATTTCAATTTAATTTTCCATTTCCATTTCAATTTCAATTTAATTTTAGAATTTCAATTTAATTTTAAAATTTAATCATCATCCCTAATTTTCATCCTTAATTTAAATCTTAGCCTCAATAGCAGAGTGAAGGGGTTTAGGATTTTTTTTTTCGCAGAAGTGGGAACCCACCATCAGCTCCCCCCAGAATCCTCAGAGCTGTTTTTTCTGTGCTGCCCTGGGTTAGGTAACACCCATCCCTGGATATTCCCCTCAATCCAGGGGGGGATGGGACGGGACCCCCCCCCTCTATTTCCACGCGTTTCCCCACCCTGTGCGCAGGGGGCAGCCGCTCCCCAGCCTTCAGAAGTTGGTTTTGCTGGAGCTCAGAGCTCTCCCCCTCTCCCTGATGGTCCCACAACCAGCAGAGCTTTTTAATTTTTTTTTTTTTTTTTTCTATCCCAGTACAACCATTTTCCAGCCGGCCCCTGCGTCCACTTTTCCTTCGGGAGCATCGTCGTGGCGATTAGAGGATGGGGAGGGGGGGCCCCAACGCTTCTCTTAAATGGACAATTTTGTACCAAAATATCCCCGTTGCTCAGCAGGATCAGCTTTAATAATAATAAAAAAATCCATTTATCCAAGTATTCGTTGGGCTGTGGATTATAAAGAGACTACGGCTCACACCTTGGGGGGGCAGAGACTGGGTTTGAGCTGCTAATTCCAACTAATTAGCATTATTACTCAACTAATTACAACTCATTCAGATTTATTTCCAGAGCCGGTTGCCAGACACCCTCCTGCGGCAGTGATGGGACTTTCCCAAAGTCTGAAACTGAAACCAGACCTGGCAACAGTCATCAAAGTTTAATTACCGTTAATTAGCCGGGCCTGGTCCCACGGTGGGCTTGGTGGGGCCCCGGACTGTCAGGGCACAGCTGAAAAACGCCAGGTTTTAGTGTTTTCTACATGATTTTGTGCATATTTTTCACTTGTGCTTCTACAAACCCTCAGGGCCTTTAGATAAGGGAGAACTCGCTGCTAATTGGACAAGGGTCTTCGTTAGTCGGTAATTAAGGAGAGGGTTCAGGGTTGGTCTTCTGGAGGTGTCACGGGGGGGCAGGGGGGGCTGTACTGGGCTGCTGCTGGGGGGGGGGATGGAGGCCCCCCAGGAGGGGGGGATTGGGGATGCTGGGCTAAACTGGGGGGGGGTCTGTGCTGGCCTGGGAGTGTGGCTCTGGGGTCGCTGGGCTGAAGTGGTACTGAGCCAAAGTGGGGGTGCTGGGCTGGGGTCGCTGGGCTGAAGTGGTCCTGAGCCAAAGTGGGGGTGCTGGGCTGGGGTCACTGGGCTGAAGTGGTACTGAGCCAAAGTGGGGGTGCTGGGCTGGGGTCGCTGGGCTGAAGTGGTACTGAGCCAAAGTGGGGGTGCTGGGCTGGGGTCACTGGGTTAAGCTGGGGTCACTGGGCTAGACTGGGGGTGCTGGGCTGATCTGGGGGCACTGGGCTAAGCTGGTGGGTGCTGGGCTGGGCTGGGGGTGCTGGGCTGGACTGGGGGTGCTGGGCTGGGGTCACTGGGCTAAGCTGGGGTCACTGAGCTGGGCAGGACTGGGGGTCTTGGGCTAAACTGGGGGTGCTGGGCTGGGGTCTGTGGGCCGAGCTGGGGGGCTGCTGGGCTGTACTGGGAGCACTGGGCTGGGAGTGCCAGACCCTGGCAGGTGAGTTCACCTCCTTTTGGGGCGCGGGGGGCCTTTGGGGACCTGACACCAACTCCCCACCACCACCACCACCCCCTCCCGCAGTGGGAGCCAGGCCCTGGGCACAGCCTGGCTGCCGCAGCCCCTGCGCGGGGGCAAAGTGCGGCTTGGGGGGGGGGGAACGGGGGGGGGGGGGGGGCCGGGGCCACCCCAGCCTGGCCAGGGAGGAAAAACCGTCCTCGTCCCCTCCCGCTGCTCCGACGGCTCCCGGACGCGGCCGCTGCCCGATCCCGCCCCGGCTGAGCCCGGCGAAACTCGCTGCATCCCAGGCGCCACGTGGGGTGAGCAGGGTCCGGCCGGAGGGGGGAAACGGGGGGGGGGGGGGGGGGGGCGTGGGGTGTGTCTGTGGGGTGCATGTGTGGAATTTGGGGTGACGGGTTGCGTCTGGGCTGGGCCGGCGACGGGAATGAGGAAGAGTTTGGTGCTGGGAGGGTGTTGGCGGGGGTGGCCCTGTCCCGTGCCTCAGTTTCCCCAGGCGGGCGCAGGCCCGTCCTGCAGGGACGGGCTCACGGGGGACAGTGAGGGGGGTGGGTGTGTGTCCCCCTCACGCAACCGCCACCGTTTTGGGCCGTTTCCAGGGGTTTTTCTTCCTTTCCATGCGAGGAGCCGGGGGATGTTTTTAGGGTGAAGCCAGGTGGCACCCCTGAGCCCCCCCCCCCACCCCGGGGAGTGGGGGCCACGCGGTGACCCCGGGGGGGCCCTACCTGCTCTGGCTTTGCCGCGTTTGCTGCCGGCGTCGGGCCAGGACAGACGCTGTCTGTTTTTCTCCTCCAGTTTCCTGTTGGTTTTTCCCCCCCCCCCGCCTCCAATAAAAATACCAAAACTCTCGGCCACAACCGCCCCGTGGCCAAGAAGCACAAGTTTCCCTCTGTGCAAAAAAGCTCATTTTTTTTGCATAATTTTTTTTTTTTTCAATTTTTTTCTTTTTTTTGTTTTGTTTTTGGAGGAGAGGGAGATTGGAAAATTAAACCCACCCGAAAAATCAGCAGAAAAGCAAACGCGGGGGCTCTCCCGGGGGGGGGGGAGCCCCCCCCGCCAGCCCCTCTCCAGGCAGCCGGGGCTCCGGGGAGGAAGAGGAGGAGGAGGGGTTGGGTGGCGTGTTGCTGCTGGGTTGGGCCCCTCAGCCGGCGGGATCTGGTGTCCCAAATCCCACGGGATCTGGTCGCTGAGCTCCGCCCTGGGATCGGGTCTGCGATTCCCCGGGGATTTGATCCCTGAGCCTACACCACCTCCCCCCCCCCCCCACCAGTGCCTGTTGGAGACCCCGGGGATTTGGTCCTGGGATCCCTTTGGGATCTGATCCCCTCAGGATACAGTTCCTGATTCCCTGGGGATCCAGTCCCCAATACCCCACGGATCCATTTCCTGATCCCCAGGGGTCTCATCCCCCCGGGATCCAGTCCACCCCAGATCCAGTCTCCTTTCCCCCCTGGGATCCCCCCCATCTCCTCGTCCCCGATCCCCCTGGGATCCACTCTCCTACCCCCACCCCCTCAATCCTGCCCCCGATCCCGCTTCGATCCAGTCCCCGAGCCCCCAAGGGAGAATTAACCCATCCCCATCCCGCCAAAACCAGGGGCTTCCCCCCCCCCCCCCCCCAATTCCCCGGGGGTTGATCCCGGTGCTTCCCAGGGAGGGGTTGGGGTCCCCCCCTAACCCCCCCCCCCCCCCCCCCCCCCCCCCCCCCCCCCATTTCTCCTGCCGCAGGACGGCTCCGCGGGGACACCCGGATGCCCCTTCCAGCCCCGTCACCCCCGCGGCCATGCGGCCCCCCCTGCCCGCCGGTGCCCGGGGGGTTTGGTGCCTGGTGCTGGTGGCGGGGGCCGCGGCGTGGCCCCGGTGCCGCCTCGACGCCGACAACCGGACGGGGCTGTGCAAGGGGCAGGACCTGGTGCGGGTGCCCCGCGGCCTCCCCGCCGGCCTCCACGGCCTCGACCTCTCCTACAACAAGCTGCGGGAGATCGCGGCGGGCGACTTCGCCGGCATGACCCAGCTCCGGCGCTTGGATTTGGGCTACAACAACATCTCCCGCATCGCGCCGGACGCCTTCGTCTCCAACCTCCTCCTGGAGCAGCTCCGGCTCTTCAACAACTCCCTCAGCTGCATCCCGGCGCCGGCGTTGCGGCCGTTGGCCAACCTCCGTTGGCTGGACATGTCCAACAACCTCTACCGCAGCGCGGCGTTGGACGGCGTCTTCGGCGGGCTGCGGCGGCTGCGGGAGCTGTCGCTGGGGGGGCCGCTGCTGCAGGACATCTCCCGGGGGGACTTCGCCGTCTTGAAGGACACGGCGCTGCAGAAGTTCGCCATCAAGTCGGGCTCCAGCCTGCGGCGGTACGAAGCCGGGGCTTTCTCGTGGCTCAACACCACGGAGCTGTGGTGCGACATGGCCCTGGACGAGAGCGCGGCGGTCCTGCCGGAGATGCTGCGGGACCTGCGGGGCAAACCCCTCGAGTACCTGCGTTTCCGTAACCTCTTCGAGTTCACCTACTACACCGGCGCCGCCGATCCCTTCGCCGGCTTGGCTGAGTTGCAGGTCACCAAGTTGGTCTTCTACCGGGGCAAGTTCAACGAGAACCTCCTCCGCTTGGCCTTGCTCAACGTCCAACGCTCCCGCGTCCGCGACTTGGAGCTGGTGGCCATCGACTTCGCCCGCTCGCCGCGGCAGAACAGCTCCGGCCTGGGGGCGGCCGCCCCGCGGCTCGACCGCCTCTTGCTGCAGGACATCAGCAACCCCGACGTCCTGCGATTCGACTGGACCTTCACCTGGTTGAGCGGCGTGGCCGCCCTCTCCATCATCAACGTCAACTTCAACTACGTCCCCTGCGACGCTTGGGGCGAGCTGCGGAACGTGGAGGCCTTGGACATCTCCAGCAACCGCCTGGAAGACGGTTATATCTACAACCAGCGTTGCCACTACCAGGGCGTCATGCCCAAGCTGGAGAGCTTCGTCTTGGCCACCAACCAGCTCCTGAGCCTGGCCGTGGTGGCCGCCTTGACGCGGACCTGGCCCCGGCTCGCCCGCCTTGATGCCAGCCACAACGGCCTGGGCGGCCTGCAGGAGACGTGCCGATGGAGTCCCACCTTGCGCTGGCTGGCGCTCCACCACAACCGGGTGACGGCGGGCACCTTCGGGTGCCTGCCCACCACCCTCGAGTACCTGGACCTCTCCTACTCATCGCTTGACCGCTTGGACATGGACTACTTCACCCGAAGCCCCCGGCTGCGGGAGCTGCGGTTGAGCGGCAACAAGATCAAGTTCATCCCCTCCGAGTGGAGATGCCCCCGTTTGGAGGTGCTGGCCATCGACGGCAACTCCTTCGGCGTCATCAACCGCGGCTCCTTCGTCAACATGCCGCGGCTCGTTAGCCTGACGGCCGGCAACAACCCCTACCACTGCACCTGTGACCTCCACCTCTTCTTGGAGGAGACGCGGCAACGGGGACGACCCAGCTTGGCCGACTGGCCCCACAACTGGACCTGCTACCACCCCGAGCCGCTGCTGGACACGGCCGTGGCCGCTTACGCCCCGCGTCCCTTGGAATGCGACGTGCCGGCGCTGGTGGCCGTGGCGGTGGCCAGCACGGCGGTGGCGGTGGCGGCGTGCGCCGTGCTCTGCTGGAAGCTGGACGCCGGTTGGTACCTCCGAGCCACGTACCGGTTGGTGAGGGCCAAGTACGGCGGGCGGCGGCCGGGCGCGGCGCGGCGGTGCTCCTACCACGCCTTCATCTCCTACAGCTGCGCCGACGCCGATTGGGTCCGCCGGGAGCTCCTCCACCGGCTGGAGAGCGCCACGCCGCCTTACCGGCTCTGCATCCACGAGCGGGACTTCACGCCGGGCCGCTGGATCATCGAGAACATCGTGGAGAACATCGAGAGGAGCGCCAAGGTCATCTTCGTCCTCTCCCGCAGCTTCGTGGACAGCGAGTGGTGCAACTACGAGCTCTACTTCGCCCACCAGCGCGCCGTGGGGCTGGGCACCGAGGACGTCATCTTGGTGGTGAAGGAACCCATCGACGCCCGGGGTTTGCCCCGGCGTTTCGCCCGGCTCCGGAAGATGTTGGGCACCAAAACCTACCTGGAGTGGCCCCACGAGCCCGGGAGACGATCCTTCTTCTGGCTTCAGCTTCGTAGCCTCTTGGGTAACCCCGAGGGGCTCGGCGTGGCCACCGGCGAGGAGGAGACGGCCGTGGATGCCACCACGTAGCAGTGGCCCGTTGCCGCGTGCCCTTTGGTAGCCGGAAGGTGGTTTTGGGGTGCTGGGCGTCCCGCCTGCCTCAGTTTCCCCTGCCAGAGGCGGCTCCAGGAGCAGCCGTTGAGGTGGGATGGGGGGGGGGGTGGGGGGGGTGGTTCCTCGCCGAGGTCACCCCGTCTTCTCCTCGACCTCCTCCCAGGGCCGGGAGTTGGGGACGGTGTCCAGGAGGTGGCAGTGTCACCCGGAGGACGTGGCCACCCTAAACCCGCCAGCGGGGACGAGCGGTGACCCCCAAACCCCCGTGTGTCCCCCCCCCGCTGCACCCCCGGCCTCCAGCCGCGGTCGCCGAGAAGAGCCGCGTGTCCCACCCCGATCCTTCCCGTGGGGTGGGGGGGGACACCAGGGGACACCCCCCGCCCTCATTCAGGGACCACTTTGCCAGGACAAGGGGAAAAAATCCTCTTTAGCAGCACCCCAGTGCCCCCCCCCAGATCCTGCATCCCCCTCCTCCTTCCCTTCCCTTTTTTGCCGTGTTTTTCTCCACTTGGCCTTTTTTTTCCAAACTCTGTCCCCCGTCGTCCAGTCCGTCCCCCCCCCAAAAAAAAAAAAAAAAAAACAAAACCAAACCACTCAAGCTGTTTATTTTTAGCAGCCAATTGAAGATGAAGGAGGAGGAAAAAAAAATATTAAAAAAAAAAAAAAAAGGGAAAAAAAAAAAAAAAAAAAGATATCCCGTCCGGAGACAGAGTAACCTTTGAGCTGCTCCCGGCCGGTGCCGGAGGGGCGATGGAGGGGGGGGGACGGTGGCTTCTCCAGGCGCTGCTCCTGCTTCCAGGTAAAGTCACCCCAAAATTCAAAATTCAGCCGGATTTGGGACAAAAAAAAAAGAGGGTGGGGGCTTTTTTTTGGGACGGGGGGGGTGGGTGAAGCAGAGGTGTTACGGGGTGCCGTGGGGCAGAGGGGGGCGGGTGCCCAGCTGGGTGCCCATTAACCCAGAGCGCAGCGAGGGGTGGGTGCCCCCCGCTGAGCCTGGCCGGGGAGGGGGGGTTTGGGGGGGAAAAATGCCTTGTTTTGGTCCTTATCCCCCCCCCCCCGCCCTCTCCCCAATATATTTTTGGCTTTTTGGGGGTGGAAGAGGGACCCCAAAACTTCCCCTGGGTTTGGGGCTGGGGCCGGCGTGGAAGGAAACCAAATCCTGCTTAGAGGAGCTAAAAGACTTTAATGGAAAATCTCTATGTTTTGGGGGGGGGGGGGGGGGGGAAAGACAAAAAAGGGGATTTTTTTTTTTTTTTTTCCCCCCTCAAGGGGGAGGTTGGTGGCTGGGTCCTTGGCCCGTCTCCGACACGTCCACGCTCCCTCGCCGCGCCCTGACGGAGGGAAACTGAGGCACGTGGCCAGTGGCCCTTGGCCACCCCTTGCCTCAGTTTCCCCACCCGGAGCCGGGCATGAGGGGATGGGATGGGGGGGGGGGGGGGGTGTCAGCACTTTGTGGGTCTTTTGGAGGTTGGTGGTAAAACACACACTCCCCCCCCCGCCCCCCTCAGCTCCCCCAAAATGGAGCCCCCTGAGTTGTCCTGTCCACCACGGAGCCTCCTGGGGTGCTGGGTCCCATATGTGGGGTGCTGGGTGCTGCATTTGGGGTGCTGGGTGCTGTATGTGGGGTGCTGGGTGCCACCCGGCGGGTGCTGGGTGCTGTATGTGGGGTGCTGGGTCCCATATGTGGGGTGCTGGGTGCTGCCCGAGGGGTGCTGGGTGCTGTATGTGGGGTGCTGGGTGCTGCATTAGGGGTGCTGGGTGCTGCCCGAGGGGTGCTGGGTGCTGTTTGTGGGGTGCTGGGTGCTGCATTTGGGGTGCTGGGTGCTGTATGTGGGGTGCTGGGTGCTGCCCGAGGGGTGCTGGGTGCTGTTTGTGGGGTGCTGGGTGCTGCATTTGGGGTGCTGGGTGCTGTTTGTGGGGTGCTGGGTGCCACCCGGCAGGTGCTGGGTGCTGTATGTGGGGTGCTGGGTGCTGTATGTGGGGTGCTCAGCACCCAGTACTCAGCACCTCTCCCCCCCACAACCCCCAGGACAGGGGCCACCGCCAGAGCTCCCCCCCCCCCCAATCCCCCCCAGTTTCCCCCCCAGCACCCAGGGGTGCCAGGACTCCCCAGCCCCACCCCAAACCCGCCGGGGGGGGGGGGGGGCGGGGGGGCATCGCCCTCCTTAATTACGGGGTTGCACCCACAAACGAGGCGGCTGCGGGGTGGCCCTCGTGGGTCGCACCCACCCATGTCCTTCCCCCCCCTCAATTTAATTCCCACCCTAAATTTAACACACCCCCCCCCGATTTAATCCCCCCCCCCCCAATTTAATTCCCCCCAGCAGCACCCAAAAAATCAGGTTGTGGGGGTTTTTGCGTGTCCCCCCAAAAGCGTCCCCGTCCCTAGAGATGGGGGGGGGGGGCCTCTGGGTGCCCCCCCAGCGCTCGCCACCCCCCCCCCAGGGCTCTGCGGGGGGTTCAATATCGACGTGAGGCGCCCGCGGCTCTTCCAGGGGCCGGCCCAGGCCCAGTTTGGCTACAAAGTGCTGCAGTGGGCAAGTGACGGGGAGAAGTGGTGAGTGGTGGCACCCACGGGGGGGGGGGGACGCGGGCACCCGTGGGGATTGCACACACACACACACACACACACACACACACACACACACACACACACACACGGGTGGAAATGGGGGGCAGGGTGAAGGGATGTGGGGGGCAGGGTTTGGGATGTGCTGGGGAGGGGAAACTGAGGCGGGAGAGGGGAAACTGAGGTGGGAAATGGGAAACTGAGGTGGGAAAAGGGGAAACTGAGGTGGGAAAAGGGGAAACTGGGGTGGGAAATGGGAAACTGAGGCGGGAAAGGGGGAAACTGAGGTGGGAAATGGGAAACTGAGGCGGGAGAGGGGAAACTGAGGTGGGAGAGGGGAAACTGAGGTGGGAAATGGGGAAACTGAGGTGGGAAAAGGGGAAACTGAGGTGGGAAAAGGGGAAACTGAGGTGGGAAATGGGAAACTGAGGTGGGAGAGGGGAAGCAGGTGGGAGAGGGGAAACTGAGGTGGGAAAGGGGAAACTGAGGTGGGAAATGGGAAACTGAGGCGGGAAAGGGGAAACTGAGGTGGGAAATGGGAAACTGAGGTGGGAGAGGGGAAGCAGGTGGGAGAGGGGAAACTGAGGCAGGAGAGGGGAAACTGAGGTGGGAAAAGGGGAAACAGGCGGGAAAAGGGGAAACTGAGGTGGGAAAGGGGAAACTGAGGTGGGAAAGGGGAAACTGAGGTGGGAAATGGGAAACTGAGGCGGGAAATGGGAAACTGAGGTGGGAAATGGGAAACTGAGGTGGGAGAGGGGAAACTGAGGCAGGAGAGGGGAAACTGAGGTGGGAAAAGGGGAAACTGAGGTGGGAAAAGGGGAAACTGAGGCGGGAAATGGGAAACTGAGGCGGGAAATGGGAAACTGAGGTGGGAAAAGGGGAAACTGAGGTGGGAGAGGGGGAAACTGAGGTGGGAGAGGGGAAACTGAGGCGGGAGAGGGGAAACTGAGGTGGGGAAAGGGGAAACTGAGGTGGGAAAGGGGAAACTGAGGCGGGAAAGGGGAAACTGAGGTGGGGAAAGGGGAAACTGAGGCGGGAAATGGGAAGCTGAGGTGGGAGAGGGGAAACTGAGGTGGGGAAAGGGGAAACTGAGGCGGGAGAGGGGAAACTGAGGTGGGAGAGGGGAAACTGAGGTGGGAGAGGGGAAACAGGCGGGAAAGGGGAAACTGAGGCGGGAAATGGGAAACTGGGGCGGGAAAGGGGAAACTGAGGCAGGCACCCGGACAGCAAAGCCCCCTCAGTGTTTTCTGGGGTCAGAAAAGGGGTTTTAAGTCTCATTGTGGATTTGTGCTTTGCCCTGGCACGGCTTTGGGAGGGGGGCACGGGAAACTGGGGGTCCCGTGGGTAAAAGCAGGGGCCGGGGGTGCCTGCGCCGGCGGTCGGGCTGCCAATCAAAGGGGGGACAGTCAGACAGACAGACAGACAGACAGACAGACAGACAGGCAGGCAGGCAGGCGGACGGAAACCGCCGGCAGCCGGGCGGCGGAAGCGCCGTGGCGCGATGCCGGCGGCGGGGGCGGCCGGGGTTTGGCCTCGCGCCCCGAAATGCCACAGCCGAGGGTGGGGGAGCGGGGTGATGCCGGGGGACACACACACACACACACACTGGGGACCCTGGGGGGGGGGGGGGGGGGGATGTGGGTGTCCCCTCACGCCGCCGTGTCGTGTGTGTGTCCCCCCACCCCAGGCTGCTGGTGGGGGCCCCGTGGGCCGGCGACGGCCGAGGCGACGTCTACAAATGCCGCGTGGGACCCCCCAACGCCACGTGCGCCCAAGCCAACCTCGGTACGGCCATGGCCCGTGCCCAGGGGGGGTGCTGGGGAGGGGGGGGGGGATGTGCTGACACCCCACCCCCCCCCCCCAAACCTCGGCCTCTCTTTTTTTTTTTTTTTCCCCACCACCGAGGAGCCGCAGCCCCGGGGCCAGCCCGCAGCGTCCACTTCGGGATGACCCTCCTGGACACCAAGGACGGCGGCTTCGTGGTGAGAGGGGCCTCCCGCCGAGGGAAACTGAGGCACGGCCGGGCGCCAGCCCACGCGCTGTGTCCCCATGTCTGTCTGTGTGTGTGTGTCCCCCCCTCCCCGGCCAGGCTTGCGCCCCGCTTTGGTCCCAGGAGTGTGGCACCTCCGTCTTCAGCACCGGCATCTGCTCCCGGCTGGATGGTGACCTCCGGCCGGTGGGGACCATCGCGCCCACGGCACAGCGTGAGTGGGGCTGCCCGTGGGGACGGGACGGGATATGGGGGGGGGGGACACACACACGTGTGCCGGGACGTGCCGGTGCCACCTGGGTTCCCCCCCCCTTGGCAGGCTGCTCCACCTACATGGACATTGTCATTGTCCTCGACGGCTCCAACAGCATCTACCCCTGGTACGAGGTGCAGAACTTCCTCAGCAACGTCCTCAGCAAGTTCTTCATCGGGCCCGGACAGATCCAGGTGAGGTGGTGGCCCCAAGGCCGGTGGCCCCAGGGTCATGCCAGTTGTCCCCAGAGCCATGCTGGTGTCCCCAAAGCTGTGCCACTTGTCCCCAGGGTCATGCCAGTTGTCCCCAGGGTCATGCCAGTTGTCCCCAGAGCCATGCCAGTGTCCCCAGGGTCATGCCGGTGTCCCCAAAGCTGTACCACTTGTCCCCCGGGTCATGCCAGTTGTCCCCAGAGCCATGCCAGTGTCCCCAGGGTCGTGCTAGTTGTCCCCAAAGCTGTACCACTTGTCCCCCGGGTCATGCCAGTTGTCCCCAGAGCCATGTTGGTGTCTCCAAGGCCATGCTGGTATCCCCAGGGTCGTGCCAGTTGTCCCCAGAGCTGTGCCACTTGTCCCCAGAGCCATGCCACTTGTCCCCAGGGTCATGCCAGTTGTCCCCAGAGCCATGCCAGTTGTCCCCAGGGTCATGCCGGTGTCCCCAAAGCTGTGCCACTTGTCCCCAGAGCCATGCCACTTGTCCCCAGGGTCATGCCAGTTGTCCCCAGAGCCATGCCAGTGTCCCCAGAGCCATGCTGGTGTCTCCAAGGCCATGCTGGTATCCCCAGGGTCGTGCCAGTTGTCCCCAGAGCTGTGCCAGTTGTCCCCAGGGCCCTGTTGGTGTCCCCAAGGCCATGCCAGTGTCCCCACAGCCGTTCCTGTTGTCCTCAGAGCCATGCTGGTGTCCCCACAGCCATGCCAGTGCCCCCAGAGCTGTGCTGGTGTCCCCGGGGAAATGTCATGCCCGGGGCAATGTCATTGTCCCCAGGGTGATGCCATCCCTGGCTACTGCCATCACACAGAGGGCAATGCTGTCACCCCGGGGCGATGCCATTGTCCTTTGGGGTGATGCCACCCTTGGGGCGATGCCATTGTCCCCTGGGCGATGCCATTGTCCTCAGGACAATGCCATTGTCCCCTAAGTGACACCAGTGTCCCCGGGGTGATCCCATTGTCCCCGGGGTGATGCCATTGTCCCCTGGGTGATGCCAGTGTCCTCGGGGTGATCCCATTGTCCCCGGGGTGATGCCATTGTCCCCTGGGTGATGCCAGTGTCCTCAGGGTGATCCCATTGTCTCCGGGGTGATGCCATTGTCCCCTGGGTGATGCCAGTGTCCTTGGGGTGATGCCATTGTCCCCGGGGTGATGCCATTGTCCCCTAAGTGACACCAGTGTCCCCTGGGTGATGCCATTGTCCCCTGGGTGATCCCATTGTCCCCGGGGTGATGCCGTTGTCCCCTGGGTGATGCCATCCCGGGGTGATGCTGGCTGGGGGATGTTTTGGGGGGGCCAGGGGTGCACTCTGCCAGCTGGGGCTGCGTTGCGGGGCGCCGGGGCCACCCCCCCACACCCCCCCACACCCCCACCCCCACGCCCCCCTGCGCATCGGGGCGGGGGGACGCCCACGTCTTGGGGCGCGGGGCTGAGCACCCCGTCTCGGCGGCAGGTGGGGGTGCTGCAGTACGGGGAGCGGGCGGTGCAGGAGTGGGAGCTGGGGCGGTACCGGACGGCCGAGGAGGTGGCGGAGGCGGCCAAGAACATCAGTCGGCAGGAGGGGAGGGAGACGCGCACGGCCCTCGCCATCCGGCAGGCGTGGTGGGAACCGCGGCGGGAGCGGGAGCGGGAGCGGGACTGGGGTTGGGTCAGGGGCGGGTTGGGATTGGGATCCGGGTTTTGATTGGGATCAAGAACAGGGTCAGGGTTGGAACTGGGATTGGGTCAGGGTCGGGGTTGGGATTGGGATTTGGGGTTGGGATTGGGATTGGTGTTGGGTTTGGGCTCGGGGTTGGAACTGGGATCAGGATCGGAACTGGGGTTGGGTCAGGGGCGGGTTGGGATTGGGATTTGGGGTTGGGATTGGGCTCAGGGTTGGAACTGGGATCAGGATCAGAACTGGGATTGGGTCAGGGTCGGGTTGGGATTGGGATCAGGGTTTTAATTGGGATCGAGAACGGGATCAGGGTTGGAACTGGGATTGGGTCAGGGTCGGGTTGGGATTGGGATTGGTGTTGGGTTTGGGCTAGGGGTTGGAACTGGGATCAGGATCAGAACTGGGATTGGGTCAGGGTCAGGGTTGGGATTGGGATCAGGGTTTTAATTGGGATCGAGAATGGGATCAGGGTTGGAACTGGGATTGGGTCAGGGTTGGGGTTGGGATTGGGATTTGGGGTTGGGATTGGGATTGGTGTTGGGATTGGGCTCGGGTTTGGAACTGGGATCAGGATCGGAACTGGGGTTGGATTCAGGGTTGGGGTTGGGTTTGGGATCAGGGTTTTAATTGGGATCGAGAACGGGGTCAGGGTTGGAACTGGGATTGGGTCAGGGTCAGGTTGGGATTGGGATTTGGGGTTGGGATTGGTGTTGGGATTGGGCTCAGGGTTGGAACTCTGATCAGGATCAGAACTGGGATTGGATCCAGGGCTGGGTTTGGGATTTAGGGTTGGGCTCAGGGTTGGAATTGGGATCAAGATCGCGGTCAAGATTGGAACAGGGATTGGGTTCAGGGTTGGGATCAGGACTGGTGTTGGGATCAGGAGTGGGCTCGGGGTCGAGATCAGGCTCGGGGTTGGAACTGGGATCAAGATTGGGGTCAGGATCAGAACTGGGATTGGGTTCAGAGTTGGAATTGGGATCAGGATTGGGGTTGTAATTGGGATTTGGGGTCGGGATCAGGAGAAGGAGCAGGATCAAGACTGGGGTCTGGGCAGGGATCAGGATTTGGATCAGGGTTGGGATCGGGGTCAGAATTGGGATTGGGATTTGGATTGGGGTCAGGGTGAGGATCGGGATCAGGGTCAGAACTGAGATTGGGATTTGGGTCGGGGTCAGGATTGGGATCAAGATTTGGATTGGGGTTGGAGTCAGGATCAGGATCGAGACTGGGGTTGGGGTCGGGGTCGGGAGTGGGATGGGGGGTCAGGACGGGGCTCGGCCTCACGCCACCCACCCTTCCCGGCAGCACCGAAGCCTTCAGCCCCGAGCGGGGCGGGCGGGCGGGTGCCACCCGGCTGATGATCGTGGTGACGGACGGGGAGTCCCACGACGGCGAGGAGCTGCCCGCGGCGCTGGCGGAGTGCGACCGGCGCAACGTCACCCGCTACGCCATCGCGGTGAGCGCCGCCGCGCCGCCCTGCCTCAGTTTCCCCACTCCCCATCCCCGCTGCCTCGGGGGCAGGAGGCGGCCCCCGGCCGACGCTGGGCCCCCCCCCCCCCCCCCTCCCCTAGGTTTTGGGGCACTACCTCCGCCGGCAGCAGGACCCCGAGGATTTCATCCGTGAGATCAAGTACATTGCCAGCGACCCCGACGAGAAATATTTCTTCAACGTCACCGACGAGGCCGCCCTCAACGACATCGTGGACGCTTTGGGCGATCGCATCTTCAGCCTGGAAGGTGACGTGGGGCCCGATGAGGTTGGGGGGGGGGGGGGGGGCCGCTGCAGAACAAAACAGCTGGAACCACATCTGGAATGATACCCTGTCCTCCCACCTCCCCAGGCACCCACGGCTACAACGAGAGCTCCTTCGAGCTGGAGATGTCCCAGATCGGCTTCTCCATCCACCTCCTGGAGGTGCGGCCGGCAGGACGGGCAGGATCAGGCCCCGGGAAGGGCTGGGGGGGGGGGGTGGGGAGCAGAGGGGAAGCTTTGCAGAAGTGGAAAATAATCCTCAGCCCATCCCGGGGTTGTGCGGCCCCGTCACCCCGGGCGCTGAGGGACATTTCTGGGCGGGGGATTTGGGGACAGTGAGACATCACCGTGCATGTGATGTCCTTGAGGTGTGTGACACGTGTGTGTGTGTGTGTGTGTGTGTCCCCAAAATCCCGTCCCGCCGCAGCAGCGTGTCACCCCCCTCCCCTTGTCCTTTGCTCCCCAGGACGGGATCCTCTTCGGCACGGTGGGAGCCTACGACTGGGACGGGGCCGTGCTGGAGGAGAGCCGGCGCGGCCGCGTCGTCCCACCCCGGAAAGCCTTCGAGAAGGAATTCCCGCTCGAGCTGAAGAAGCACGCGGCTTATCTGGGTACGGCGGGGTGTCCCGAGGGGTGCGGGGTGTCCTGAGGGGTGTGGGGTGTCCCGAGGGCTGTGGGGTGACCCGAGGGGTGTGGGGTGTCCCAAGGGGTGAAGGGTGACCCGAGGGGTGAGGGGTGACCGGAGGGGTGAGGGGTGACCCGAGGGGTGTGGGGTGTCCCAAGGGGTGAAGGGTGACCCGAGGGGTGAGGGGTGACCCGAGGGGTGAAGGGTGACCCGAGGGTTGCGGGGTGTCCCGAGGGGTGCAGGGTGTCCCGAGGGGTGCGGGGTGACCCGAGGGGTGAGGGGTGACCCAAGGGGTGCAGGGTGACCCAGGGCTGCTCCGTCTCCTGGAGATACAGGGTGAACAGGGGATTCTTCCTGTCCTGGAGATTTGGGGTGACCCAGGGATGCTCCGTGTCCTAGAGATTTGGGGTGACCCAGGGATGCTCCGTGTCCTAGAGATTTGGGGTGACCCGGGGATGCTCCCTGTCCTGGAGATTTGGGGTGACCCAGGGATGTTCCCTGTCCTGGATATTTGGGATGACCCGGGGATGCTCCCTGTCCTAGAGATTTGGGGTGACCCGGGGATGTTCCCTGTCCTGGAGATTTGGGGTGACCCGGGGATGCTCCCTGTCCTAGAGATTTGGGGTGACCCAGGGATGCTCCGTGTCATAGAGATTTGGGGTGACCCAGGGATGCTCCGTGTCCTGGAGATTCGGGGTCAACTGGGGGAGTTCCTTGTCCCAGGGGAATGGGGCAAATGGGGGATCACTGGCAACTGTGGGATACTCAGTACCCCAGGAATGCTCAGTGCCCCGGGGATCCTCTGTGCCCTGGGGATCCAGGGGGGACCGAGGGTGAGCACCCCAGGGCTGTGGAGCAGATGGGGCGCTCGGTGTCCTGGGCATGGGGGGGAAACCGGGGGGTGCTGGGTGCCCTGGGGACACGGGGTGACCGAGGGACTGGGGACACCCCAGGCTACGCCGTCTCCTCGCTGCGGCTGCCCGGCGGGCAGCGCCTGTTCGTGGCTGGAGCCCCTCGCTTCCAGCACAAGGGCAAGGTCATCCTCTTCGAGATGGATGCCGCGGGGACCGTGACGGTGGCCCAGGCGCTGACGGGGGAGCAGGTAGGGACTGCTGGCGGGGGTGGGGGGGGGAAAGGGCAGGCAGCCACAGGAAGGGGGTCCCCACAGCCCCCCCCCCCCCCTCCCAAGACTCACACGGCCCCGCTGTGACCCACAGATCGGCTCCTACTTCGGCAGCGAGGTGTGTGCCCTGGACGTGGACGGTGACGGGGTGACCGACGTGCTGCTGGTGGCAGCTCCCATGTACCTGGGTGCCCAGAACAGGGAGACGGGGCGCGTGTACCTCTACAGAGTGGGGCAGGTGAGGGGTTTGGGGGTGCCGGGGGGGAGGGGAGGGGCGCAGGGGGATCGGGAGGCACAGTGGGGCTGGGGTGGGATGCAGCAGAGCAGGGGATGCAGCAGGGTGTGTGGGGGGACGCAGCAGGGTCGGGGGGGTGCAGTGGGATTGGGGGGATGCAGCGGGGTTGGGGGGGTGCAGTGGGATTGGGGGGACGCAGAGGGGTCGGGGGAGGATGCAGTGGGATTGGGGGGATGCAGTGGGGTTGGGGGGTGCAGTGGGATTGGGGGGATGCAGCGGGGTTGGGGGGTGCAGTGGGATTGGGGGGATGCAGCGGGGTTGGGGGGGTGCAGTGGGATTGGGGGGATGCAGCGGGGTTGGGGGGTGCAGTGGGATTGGGGGGATGCAGTGGGGTCTGGGGGGTGCAGTGGGATTGGGGGGACGCAGCAGGGTCGGGGGGGTGCAGTGGGATTGGGGGGATGCAGCGGGGTTGGGGGGGTGCAGTGGGATTGGGGGGATGCAGTGGGGTCGGGGGGGTGCAGTGGGACTGGGGGAACACAGCAGGGTCGGGGGGGGTGCAGTGGGTTTGGGAGGACACAGTGGGGTCGGGGGGGATGCAGTGGGATTGTGGGGATGCAGCAGGGTCGGGGGGGTGCAGTGGGATTGGGGGGATGCAGTGGGATTGGGGGGATGCAGCAGGGTTGGGGGGGATGCAGTGGGATTGTGGGGATGCAGCAGGGTTGGGGGGATGCAGTGGGTTTGGGAGGACACAGCGGGGTCGGGGGGGTGCAGTGGGATTGGGGGGATGCAGCAGGGTCGGGGGGGTGCAGTGGGACTGGGGGAGCACAGCAGGGTTGGGGGGATGCAGTGGGTTTGGGGGAATGCAGCGGGGTCAGGGGGGTGCAGTGGGATTGGGGGGACACAGCAGGGTTGGGGGGTGCAGTGGGATTGGGGGGATGCAGCAGGGTCGGGGGGGATGCAGTGGGATTGGGGGGATGCAGCAGGGTCGGGGGGGTGCAGTGGGACTGGGGGGACGCAGCAGGACTGGGGGGACACGGCAGGGTTTGGAGGGGGGCTCACAGCAGGGTTAGGGGGGGACACACAGCCCAGGGGATCCCCCAGCACTGGGCTCCAGGGGCTCACGTACGGAGCACCCGAGGCCGGACCCGGGACCGAGGGCCGCCCTGTGCCCCCCCCGCAGCGGCTCCTGGCCCCCGCCGGCACCCTGCACGCCGACAAGAAGCCGCAGGACTCCCGGTTTGGCTACGCCCTGGCCGCCGTGCCCGATCTCAACCACGACGGCTTCAACGACGCGGTGGTGGGGGCTCCGCTGGAGGACGGGCACCGCGGGGCCGTCTATGTCTACCACGGGGCGCCGGGCACCCTCCTGCCCCATTACAAACAGGTGAGATGGGGCTGGGGAGGGGGGGTGGGGGGTGTCTTGCTGCCAGCTGGGGGGAGGCCCCCATTGAGCACAACCTTCTACAAGCCAGCAGCGAAGCCACTGCTGGCCCTGCTCTCGCCTCCCCCAGCGCATCGAGGCGGCGGCGCTGGGACCCACCCTCAGCTATTTCGGGCGCAGCGTGGATGGGCAGCTGGACCTGGATGGGGACGGACTGGTGGACCTGGCTGTGGGGGCCCAGGGGGCGGCCGTGCTGCTGCGGTGAGGCCTGGGGACAGGGACACATGGAGGGGACGGGGACACGTGGAGGGGACGGGGACACGTGGAGGGGATGGGGACACGTGGAGGGGATGGGGACACGTGGAAGGGACGGGGACATGTGGAGGGGATGGGGACACGTGGAGGGGATGGGGACACGTGGAGGGGACAGGGGCACATGGAGGGGATGGGGACACGTGCAGGGGATGGGGACATGTGGAGGGGACAGGGACACATGGAGGGGACGGGGACATGTGGAGGGGATGGGGACACATGGAGGGGACAGGGACACATGGAGGGGATGGGGACACGTGGAAGGGACGGGGGCACATGGAGGGGATGGGGACATGTGGAGGGGACGGGGACGTGGAGGGGATGGGGACACACAGAGGGGATGGGGACATGAGGAGGGGACAAGGACATGTGGAGGGGACGGGGACACGCGGAGGGAACAGCTCGGGGGACACCACGCTCCGCAGGGCCACCCGGCGCAGCCCTGCCAGGCGTGCTGCTCTCCGGGGTTCTCCTGCACCCCCCCCGTGCCTCAGTTTCCCTTGGCTCTAAGAGGAGACGAGCCTGGGGACGGTGCAGGGAGGGATGTCCCCGTCCCCGGGAGCGTCCTGGTGACACCGTCCCCTCGCCGCCCAGCTCCCGCCAGATCATCCAGGTCAACACGTCGCTGACGGTGGAGCCCCCGGCCATCAACGTCATCCAGAAGAACTGCCGGCGCGGCGGCACCGGCGCCGTCTGCCTCCGGGCCAGGGTCTGCTTCCGCGCGGGGACCCGAGCCCGGGGCCGGCGGGACAGGGAGGTCGGTGAGTGCTGGGGACCCGGGGGAGGGGGACGGGGGGGGACACACCCACAGGATGGGCGCCGCGCCTCGGAGCACCCCGGAGCGAGTATCGCTGGAGCATCCCTGGAGTATCATCACTGGAGCATCCCTGGGCTGAGCCTGGAGCATCCCAGGGTGGCCCTGGAGCATCCCCGGGGTGTCCCCTGAATGTCACCAGAGCATCCCTCTGCCATCCCTGGAGCATCCCCGGGGTGTTCCTGGAGTATCCCAGGAGCATCCCTGTGGTATCCCCAGAGTATCACCAGCGCATCCATCCCTGGAGCAGCCCTAATCCATCCCCAGACCTTCTCCAGAGCATCCCTGGGGTGTCCCCAGAGCACCTCCGGGGTGTCCCCAGCCCCGTGGATGTCCCCAAGCACTGACACCCCACCCCACCCCCCCCCGATTTCCTCCCCCCCCCCAGAGCTCCGGTACAACGTGTCCCTGGAGGAGAGGACAGCGGGTGCCCGCGCTGCCTTCGACGCCGGCGCCCGGCGGCTGCTGCACCGGCGCCTCGAGCTCTCGCTGGGGAGGCAGAGCTGCCTCCGCTTCCCCTTCCACGTCCTGGTGAGCCACCCAGGACCCCTCCGCCCCTCGGGACACGGGTGGCTTTTTCCACAGCCCCCCCCGCCCCCCCCAGCAGTACTGGGGGGGGCTAATGGGGACCCCTCCACCCTCGCCAGGACACCACGGATTATCTGCGACCCCTCAGCTTCACGGTGAGGTTGGCCATGGCCGAATCCACCGGGCCGGTGCTGGATGAGTCGTCCCCCACCACCATCCGGAAACTGGTGGGTGCTGGGGGGGGGCGGGGGGGGGGGGACTGGATCCAGGATCATCCCCGGCACCGGGATCACACCGGGCTCCTCCCAGATCCCCTTCTTCAAGGACTGCGGGGAGGACAACGAGTGCGTCACGGACCTGGTGCTCGGGGCCACCATGGACATCGTGGGCTCCAGGTACGGGGTGTCCCCAGGGCTGAGCCACCTCCATCCCGGTGGCCCCCCCGTCCCCACTCCCCCCCCCCCCCCCCCCCCCCGGGGCCGTAACCGCCCTGGTCGCTGCAGGCAGAGCCCCCACGTCCTGCGCAAGGGCAGGAGGAAGGTGATGGTGGACGCGGTCCTGGAGAACAAGGAGGAGAACGCCTACAACGCCAGCCTGCTCCTCCGCTTCTCCAGCAACCTCCACTTCTCCAGCCTCACGCTCCAGGTACGGGGCCACGGAGGCCGGGGGGGGGGCGGGTCCCCCACTCCTCTAGGGCCCCCCCCAGCCCCTCCAAGACACTGTAATCCTTCCTGTCCAGACCCTCCGCCCCATCCCAGGACAAAGTTTGGGGTCTCTCCGGTCTTATAAGAGACCCTCCAGCCCATCCTCATCCCCAACCCATCCCAGGGGGGAGGCGGGGGTCCATTGGGCCCCATTTATGTCCCCCCCAACCCATCCCATGTGCCCCCACAGGGCCCCTCACCCCTGTGGTCGTCCCAAGCCCCCTCAGCTCCATACCCCAGCGTCCCCGGCCCCATCCAGCCGCAGGTGACGTGTGTGGTGTGTGTGTTCCCCCCCCCCCAGGACACCAGCCCGGTGAAGCTGGAGTGCACAGCCCTGCCCGGGCACCGCCGGCTCTGCAGCGTTGGCTACCCCGTCTTCCGTTCACTGGCCAAGGTAGGGGACCAGGGCTACCCACCCCCCCACCATGGGACCCCCCCGGGGCCCTGTGCACCCATCCCACCCTGCTGCCAGCCCCACTCACCCCCCACATCCCCCCCCCCCCCAGGTCTCCTTCACCCTGGAGCTGGAGTTCAGCTGCTCCGTCCTCCTCGACCGAGCTGAGGTCGCCCTCGAGGCCAGCAGGTAGAAGCTGGGGGGGGGGGGGGGGGGCTGCACCCCAAAGGGTGGCCCAGGTGGTGGTGGTGGTGGGGTCTCGGGGTCCCCCCAAACTCCCCATGGCCTCGTCCCCCCCCCTTCCAGTGACAGCACGGAGGCGACGCCGGAGGACAACGCCGTCCGGCTTTCCACCCCCATCCGCTACGAGCCTGAGCTCTTCCTCACCAGGTATTGCTGGGGGGGGGGGGGTGGGGCAATTCGGGGGGGGGGGCTGGAGGAGGGGGGGTCACAGTGCTGGGGACAAAGGGGCAGGATCCAACCCTGTTCTTGCTCCCCCGCAGCGACTCCAACCTGCACCGCTACGAGGTTCACCCCCTCGGCACCTTCCCCCACGGCCCCGGCCCCGAATTCAAGACCACGGTGAAGGTGAGGAGCTTTGGGGGTGCAGTGGGGGGGGGGGGACGACGACGGGGGGAGCATTGCTGGGGTGGGGGGGGGTGGCGTTTCCTGGCTCACCCTGCTCTCCCCTCACCCCACCCAGGTGCAGAATTTTGGGTGCTACCCTGTCCGAAACCTCACCCTCCGCATGGCCCTGCCAGCCCTGGGCTACCGCCGGGCCACCTTCCTCTCCGTCACACGCGTCCTGGCCGATAACGTGAGTCCCTCACCCAAACTGGGGGTCCTGGGGGTTTGGGCGGGTGGGGTGGTGTTTCCTGCACCCCCCCCACACCTTGGTGCTGAGCCCAGATCCTTCCCCCCCCCCCCACCCCCCCAAGGCGACCTGCGTGCTGCAGCCCCCGGCCGAGGAGCCGCAGCAGCGGGGCACGGCCACGGTGGTCCCTGTGCACCCCGAAGACCTCCTGCGCGTGGACAGGCTGGTGAGCAGCACCCTGAGGGTCCCCGAGCTGGGGTTTGGGGGGAGTGGGAGGGGGTTTGGGGGTGCTTCCTCCCCTCCCCGACTCTGTCACACTCCACACCCCCCCCCCCCCATTTTTGTCCCCGTAGGATTGCGGCAACGCCTGGTGCCAGGAGCTGAGCTGCCGGCTGGGGCGGCTGGACCGCGGCGGGGAGGTCTCCATCCACGTCCTCCGCACCATCCACAACGACTTCTTCCGTGGGGTGAGGAGGGGAGGGGGGCGATGGGGAAGGGGGAACCCCCCCCTCCTTTGCTACCCTCCCCCCCGCTTTCCCCTTCCCCAGGCTAAATTCAGGAGCGTGAAAGTCGTCAGCACGGTCTGGCTGGGGGTGCCGGGGAGCAGCGTGCTGGTGCTGGAGGAGGGGGCACAGCGGAGGGAGGTAGGAGCCCCCCCAGCCCCCCAAACCCGGGGAGCGGGCCCGTGGGGACACCCCGCTTCCCCTTTGCTCCCCGGGGACCCTTTTTGTTTTGTTTTTTGTTTGTTTGTTTGTTTGTTTTTTTCCCAGACGGTGCTTGAAATCATCCAGGGGAAGCGGGTGCCCATCTCCCTCTGGATCCTGGTGGGCAGCATCCTGGGGGGGCTGCTCCTCCTGGCGCTCATCATCTTCTGCCTGTGGAAGGTGAGAGCGGGGCCGGGCTCGGCTTTTGGGGGGACACACACACACAGAACGGGGACAGGGGGCTCTGCCCACCACCCCCACGCTCCCCTCCATCCTCTCCCTCTCGCCCCAGCTGGGCTTCTTCACCCGCAAGAAGCTCCCGGAGGAGGAGGAGGAGGAGGAGAAGGAGCAGTGAAGGCAGGCGGTGGCCCCTCGAGCCCGGCGGGAGGGGACACGTCCCTTCCTCAGCTTTGGGGACAACCCGGGGCTCGGGCCTCTGCCACCCCCCCCGGCCGCGGGGGCTGGATTGTGCTGGCGCCCGGAGGCAGCCAGGTGAGGTGGGGGGGGTCCAGCAGCGGGGCGGAGGAGCCCCCCCCCCCCCCCCCCAGATTTGACCTGAAGGACTTGAGGGGGGTGTGTGTGTAGGGGGGTGGGGGGGTTGTGGAGGTGGGGAAAGGGGAAAAAAAATCACCCCCGGGGCTGAAACACGCAGCTCCCCCAATAAAGCTCAGCCCCGCCGCAATGCTCGAGCGTGTGGTACCCGCCGCCCCGCCCGGGCTTGGGGATGCTCCAGCAGCATCACCCCCCACCCCAAACCCCCCCCCCCCCCCCCCCCCGAGCCCCTCAGCCAGGGAACACAAAGGGATTGGGGATAAGGGGAACCCCCAACCCCCCCTTCCATGGCCCCTTTAGCCCCACGGCCCTCCCTGCCTGGAGGGGTCCGGATTAAATTCTGCCCCACAGGGAAGAAATTCCCAACTTCGGGAAGTGCAGGTGAAAGGGAAGAACCTGGCAGGACCCCAAATACTCCCCAGCGCCCCCAAACCTCACCCTCCACCTGTGGGGGGGGGGGGAGCCTGAAACGCTGGGTGACAGGGACAAGCAATGAGAAAACCCCAGCGAAGAAAACCCTTTTCGGGCGCCCTTAAAGCATTTTCCTCTTTGTCATCACCACCCCCCGCGCCCGGCTCGCGCTCCCCAGGCCCCGGGCTGGCAGGTCCAAGGGGAACGCGTCTACACGCACCAAAGCGACGCCAGAAAAGCCCTTTCCAGCCCCCCCCCGGGGTTTTTTTCCAGCCCTTTGAGTCCCCCAGGAGCTCCTCAGCCGCCTCTTCCAGCCCCAACGATCTTTCTCCGCGTTTCATCTTCTTTATAAAGGCCTTTATTTGACTTAATAGCAAACAAAACCACTAGTTTAAATCGAGTGTACGTAGTACACTGCTTACAGCAATGAAGCGACACGTTTAGACGCGACCCACCTCTCCCACGCGGCCGCTGCCGGGGTCTGACATTGCCACGGGGGGGGGGTGGAGTGGGTGCCCCAAGTACAGACGTTACGCGGACGGTAAAAAAAAAAAAAAAAAAAAAAACAAACAAACCCAAGGAGTTAAACATGGATGAAATGTTACAGAAGTGAAGGGGGGGGAACCAAACCCAAACCCAAACCAACAAAACAAAACCCAAACAACGACAAAAAGAAATAATCCGCAAAAATAAAGCGACTCTCTTAAAGTTATCGGACTACGGGAGAATGAAGATTTTTGTGTTAAACACCGCGGAATCGGCTGTTAATGTGCAGAGTTTGGTGCTTTCCTGGAGGATGCCCTTCGTGTGGTCCCCAGGGAAGAAGCCAGCTAAGGATCCTAAACGACTCTGGGGGGGGGGGACACGGGTTGGGACAGACCTGGGGACACAGGCCCGTGGAGAAGGGCTGGAAACACCACCCCCCCCCCCCCCCCAAAACAACAACAACAACAACAACAACAAAAGTCCACGACAAGACAGAAAATCCTGCTCGGTGCCTCCCTGCCCCCAGAGTCGGGGGCTCCCGCGCGTCCCGAGCCCGGCGCGCTCTGCCAGCACGCCTGGGGAAGAGCTCCAGAAACCCCCCCACGCCTCCATCCTCACCTCTGCCTCGCCCTCCAGGGAGACCTGGAACACTGTTTTATAGGAACCGTCACTTGAATTCAAGAGGGAGCGGGGAAAAAATAAAAATTAAAAAAAAAAGATGAAAAAAAAAAAAAAAAAAAAGAAGCCCCCCAAAAAAACCTCCTGGATTGGATTCCACCCACCCGGTTCGAGGGGCAGAGAAAGGGGTCAGAGGAGAGAAGTCAAAAATCTTCTCCTTTCCCTCTCCTCTTTTTCTACGCGGAGCAGAGCAGGGGGGATGCTCCCCCCCCCCCCGATTCGCCCCCTCTTTGCCGGGGGGCCCGGGGAGCGGAGGCGGCCGCACTCGGGCTCTGGGCGGGGTGTCCCCAAACCTCCCTGCGCCGCCTCGCCCCCCCCCTCCCCCCCCACCCCCCTTGCTGGGCCCCGTTTGAAGTCTCAAGGTTTCACAAGTACAAAAATCAAGTCAAATCACTCAAAAGACTCTGGATTTAGGACTAAAGAGGCGATTCCAATGGAGACGCGACTCGCTCGGAGATGCTAGTTTAAAGTTTCGGGAAAACGACAGCACTCAGCGCAGCAACACCGCGGGGTGGGTCCCCTCCCCTGCCCTATATTTCCTGCTACTCTTTTTTTTTTTTTTTTTTTTTTTTTTTCCCTCTCTCCTCCTTTTTGTTGGTTGAATTATAATACAATGTACATCTGTAGTAACCATACTGTGCCCAGAGCCCTCGAGCGTCAGAAAGTCCATCGATCGTGTAGCTGGCTTTCAGTGCTAAAGCTGTTACTCGCCGAGGCCTCGGGGTTCTGTGTTTGCCGAGTCGAATCTTCCCCTTTTAAGCTCTTCCGGCACACGGGGCACGTGTCGTGCTGCAAGAGGAAAGGCGGGAGCTTCAGGGAGAGGCCTCGTCCCGCCGAGCCGCGCGCGGCGCCGAGGGGGGGGGGTGTTTCTCTCGGAGCCCCCCCAGCCCCACGCTCTTACCAGCTCTAACCACGGCACGATGCAGTTGCTGTGGAAGAAGTGATTGCACGGTAACTGCCGCACTTGCTCCGCTACGGTGTAGTCCTCCTTGCACACGGGACACTCCAAACCCGTATCTGTGAAGGGAAGCGCGGGCGGCTTTAGCCGGCCGGGGGCGCAGGCTCCGGGTTTTACGAGTCCGTTCGCGCACAACCCGCTGGGGAGGGCAGCGTTTGCAGCCAGGCAGCCAAGAAACCCCTTACGTTCTCCGCATATTAAAAAAAAAAAAAAAAAAAAAAAAAAATCAATCAAACTAAGGGCATATTAGATAAATCCTGCCAGAGCTTCCTCGCCCGGGTGGAGGGCGGTTTCGCACGGCTGGCGGGGGAGGTTTCCATCGTGCAGCCTCCTCCGCAGGAGCCCGGCCATGAGAGATGGCAAAAAAAAAATAAATAAAAAAAAATTAAAATCTGCTCCTGCTCCCTTCGTAGCGAGGCCGGAGCGCGGGCGCAGGCCGGGGACAGCGAGCTCCGGCAGCTCGAACGGGCGAGACCGAGCATGACAACATGGAAATTCTTGGCTTCCCAGACAAGGAGAGGAGACGTGGGTATATAAAAAGCAGCAGACAAAAATATCTGTTGTGGAAACGGCTTTTCTAATCAACAGTTTGTCTTAATGGAGCATTTTAGCTTCCAGTAATAGAGCGGCTTGGAGGGGAAGGGATCCTTTGAGCAGCCTTCTGCAAACAGGGGGAGAAAAATCCCTGGGACGAGCTAATTGCAAAACCATAAACGTTATGAGAAACCCACAGGCCTTCGCTGCCAGCTGCACTGCAAGAACCTGCGAGTTTTACATGACATTTCCAGAGAAGTTCAGCACGGATACGTTCCGAGCCTCATCTACCCGCCCTGCCGTGAGCCAGTTTGGAAGGGAAGAAAGCAAGCCCAGCTCTAAGGAGACCATAAACAATGGCACAAAGAGGAGATTTTTGAGGAAGGTAAAGCCACAGGGCCAAAAAGGCAGGCGCTTCGGGACGGCGCAGAACGAGGAAGGTCTTTGCCCGTGGCCTGAATCGGCGCAGATCCGAGCGCCCCGGGAGAACCCAACACCAGCTGAGAGCGGGAGCAGAGCTCAGCGATCTCCCGAGCTGGAAGACGCGAGTGTTTCCAGCCCGAGTCCGGGCTGTAATTCAGAAGGACGGAGCCCTCCGCCCTCCCGCAGCAGCCAGGGAAGAGCAGGGAGGCTGATCCCCAGCAGAGAGACGGGGGGGGGGGTGGGGGGAGAGCCCGGGAAGGGGGTGACAAAGCGTCAGGAGCCGCGTGACGCCGGGCACAGGCACCGACTTCACACCTACCGACTTGTTCCTGAGTTACTGTCACCGTCGGGAGAGAGGAGATCTTCTCTTTGTCGGCCGGAGGCGGTCCCGTGTTTTCCAACTGCCCCAAGAGCTGCGGAGGAGAAAGCGTTCGCCCGCCGGTGCACGGCTCACGGAGCCCAAACCCACCAGCAGCTTGGGCGCAAGGTCGGGGTTGGGGGGGGGGGGGGAGAGCCCTGGCCTGGCAAACCCCCCCCAGTGCCAGACCTCAGCTCCCAGTCCCTCGCCGGGAAGGTCCCAGTGGCCCAAGCCCAGGCCGCTTCGCTTCGACGCCGAGCGCCCCGGTGACCGTTCCCTCCCCCTGCGGCAACACTTTGCCCGCCGAAACCTTCCTTCGCGCCTCCCCCCCCCCGGCAATCCCACCGCCAACAGCGTCGCCCTCCGGGCGTTTTCTCTTGCACCGAGACTGGGGGGCCTGGGTGGGAAGGGAGGCTTTGCCCCGGCCGTGGGAGCAGGGGGGCTAAGCTACCCCTGGAGGATTTTACTCCGGGGTAAAATACTCGCTGGCTCCGAGCGGCCGCGAGCGCTGCAGGCTCATTTTGGGGGAGCCGTGGGCCGGGCGGGCGACGCAGCCTGGGAAGCCGGGGGCTAGTTATGAATGGGAGCAGATGGCTCCGCCGGGAGCTTTCGGGAGGTGTCAGCACGCCAGCAGCAGCCAAATTAGCTCTCGGCAAAGAATCCGTCTGCTCTCCCCGTCCCAGGGATGCCGACACCCTGGAAGAGGCTGTCTGGGGATGGAGGCTGGACACCCCCGATCCTCAAAGGAGCCAGACAGCGCTTCCAGGGAACGGGAGTGGACTCGGCTCATCCCTCCCCAAACCACAGGGGGAAATGGCTCACGGCTGGAAATGGCCCAGTTTTGGTGAGAGATCCGGGGCTGACGCTGGAGATTTTCGTCTCCAGCCCCTGCTGAGCCTGCTGCAAGGCACCCGCAAGCCCCGCAGCCCAGGCGAGCTGACCCAGAGCTGAACTGAGACCCTGTATGTCCACAGGAATAAGGGCTGGCCCTACCCCAGGCCCCCTGAGGAGGGAGGGCACAGGCAGCCACCGCGCCAGAGCCCGACGGGCTGTTCCCAGGCCTCACCCGAAACCCAGGGCTCGCCTCCAGCAGCGGGACTGGCCAGATCGGAGCACAGAGATTTACAGGGGCAGATGAAAGCCCAGGCCAGCCAGTTTGGTTTTTTTTTCCTCCACCTGGGCACACAGGAGGGACTTACCTGGGTGACAATAGCATCGAGGCCGCTCTGTCCCCACGCGTAGTCCCCAGGATTTGAGTGCAGCATCCCACTCCTGCGGACGGGAGCGGAGAGTCACGGAAGCTGTTTCACCCACCCCAAACCAGCCCTGAGGTTTGCACAATCCTCCCAGAGGAGCCACACTGGGGAGATGGGGCTCCCGGGCACCAGACCACAGCTCTTTACTGGTGTGGGCAGCCGTGATCAAAGCCATGGTCTAAACCATGCTCGCTACTCACCAGGAAAAAGGGTGTTGTGAGCCAGGAATCGCTGAGTTTGCAAAAAACCCTGCAAAGATCTGCTGTATTATTCTAAAGGGGGAGGAATTGGAAGAGAGGGGGGGGGGGGAAAAAAAAAAAAAAAGAAAAAAAAAAGAACAAGTTGAGCAAACAAATAAATGGCAGCAGTTTAGCAAGAATGGGCAGCAAAACACGAAATACCGCTCCGACCGATCGCAGCCCTGCTGTTGCAAGACTCGGGCCCAGGTAAAACCGGGCAGGGTGAGCCCTGAGACTGGGGCACAGCACGAGGGATGCTAACTCATCAGAGTGTGGGAGGGCTGGGAGAGGAAATGACTGAGTTTCCCAAGCACTGACTCGCTTTCCTGCGGTGAGGGTTGGCACCGTTACAGGCAAAACCCACCTTTCCCACCACGCAGCTTCGGTTCGTGCCGAGGGGGGACAAGGGGTAGAGCATCCGATGCGAAAACCTGCGGCTCCCAGGTCTGAGGGTGACCCACCATAAACGCCAGGATCCCATTTCTCCCCGAGATCCCACTTTTTTTTTTTTTTTTTTTCCACTGAGGGGAGAGGGAGGCGCTTGCAGGGGGTAACTCAGGCACTCACCCCTCGATAGCAGGAGATCTGTCGGGGCGCGAGCTGCCCCGGGATCTGTACCTCCGCGTCATGGGCAATCGCGGGGGCCGGCTCGGTCCCCAGAGGTCGGCGTGGGCTTGGTGGCCCCTCTCGTTGTCCCTGCTGTCTTGATCCAGTGAGCTGCTACTCAGAAAGGGTCTGAAGTCGGGAAAGAACATTGTGTGGTCCAAATGGTCCCAAAGCTGGCGGGGGGGGGGAAGAAAAAAGGGGAGACACAAACCACGCACAGCTCCGTCACTAATCCCGGTGACTCCACTGCCAGCGCGGAGGCAGGGAAGTCCACCTCGACAGAAGCAACTGAGCGAATTCATAGGGTTACCATGGCTCCCAGAAAAAAAAAGCCTGGCAAAACCCGCTTAATTATAGCCCAAACTAATCAGATGTACCACCCCCGGGAAGACCAACGCGTCAGAACCTACAGATCCCAACAACACATGTTGTGTTAAGTCACTCCAGGGTGCTGCGAGGGTTGGTCTCTCTCTGCCCGGGCTGGGGTTTGAGGGGAGGTAGTGCTGGACCCCCAGGCCCCCCCATGCCCACGGGCTCACCCAGTGCTCCGGGTCCTCACAGCCACAAACGGAGGTGGCCAAAAGATCCGAAGCACGGCCCCGAGGGGGAGGAGGGTTTGAGTCTCTGTCTGCGCCCTCCGGCTCGGCCACCGCGACACGGCGTGAAATGGCCGACAAGGAAACGTGTCACGCTGTTTTGGGGGGGGCTGTCCACCCCGGGGAAAGCCGCCTCCGGGCCCTGCAGCAGACCTACCTGCTGCTGGTGCTGCAAAATACCCACCCGGCTCCTTGGCCGAGTCAAATCACCAGCCCTGAGCCTCCCCCGGGGGAGCAGGGATGTAAATCAAGAGCTCCCGGCTACAGTCGCCGCTGCAGGCTGCCAGCCTGTGGAGAAAGCCGGGGGGGGGGGGGGGGGGGGGGTGCCCCAAAACACCCAGGACCCCCCAAGCAAAGGATCCCCATCCCCAGCCAAGAGCCGCCCGCAGCGACCTGGAATAAAACCCATTTGGTTTTATCCCTCCCGCGATTCAGATCGCCCACGGGTCGCAGTAACAGCTGAGGAGGGTACTGAGGACTTCTGATTAAAAAAAAAAATAAATAAAAAATAAATTTCACAGAGGACACCAAAACAAGGAGCATCAGAGGAGAAGCCCTCCGTGTGCCGTGTGGGAGCAAGCCGCTGCTCACGCTCGGTGCGCCCGGGCCGGGCTCTGCGCTGCGACAGCGATACTCGGAGGAGCGGAGCCCTCGGATTTACTGCGGGAATTAAATGCTGCAGAGCGTTAACACGAGGGCGGTTCCTTCCTTATTTCTATCAGACCCTCATCGTGTGTTATGACATGATCAGAGCGGCTTAATTTCCATTTCACACCGAATTAGCTCACTTGAAAAGTCTCTTGCATTGCCTGGTTCAATTTGGTATTGGAGGAAAGGGAGAAGTCAACTTTATGACCTGTTCTCTGAATTAATACCCCGCAGACAAGAGCTCTGCTTGTTCTCCTGCTGGTTATGATCAAGATAGTGCTCTGCCTGCCTGCAGCCACCCTGCTGAGAGAAGACTTTCATTTATTATTAATCCTAAAAGGCATTTAAATTTACATAGCGCCTTTCATGCAGAGGCATCCCAAAGCTCTTTGTAAACCGACACATGGGCTCTAAGACGAGACCGCTTTATCTCGCTGAAGCACGGGCATTTCTGGGGCGCAGGGCTGGGGAGGAGCGATACAAAGGCACGTTTTGTTCAGGAGACAAACGAAGAGGAGGGGAGGAGGGGCAAACCAGCCGCACGTGGGGAGCGGGGAAGCAAAGAGGAGGGCTCCGGATCCGAAACACAAAGCTGTAGGGGAATTTCAGTTATTCGGTGACCTTGTTTCTGGCAGCACCCGAAGGAGCTCAGCCACAACACAGACCCCCAAATCTACCCCGGGATAACCCTGGCCGACCAGCTGCGACTCCCTGACATCGGGGAGCTCTGCTGGCAGGACCCAGCAACAGCGAAAACTCCGCAATAACCCAGCAAGGAAATAACCTGATCTCTGAGCAGGGCCTGCTGGCAGAGGACACGCATAGAGATTTTATTTCCATCTGGTTTGCACAGCTCGGCTGAACTCCTGAAGGGAAGCAGAGCCCGGAGATCAGAGCCCAGGGCCACCCCCCCCCGGCCTTCCCCGGGCACCGGACGAGGAGCTGCCGCCGCAGCCACGAGCCCGGGGCGACTCAGGCGAGGCCACGGCACGAGCTCAGGGTGCGCGTTCCCGGAGCTCGACTCGGGCACGTGCCCGGCTGTCTGAGACTTTAGGTAACGGGGTAAGTTAAAAAAAAACACACTTCCAGCCCTCGCTGCCCAACAGCCCCTGCTCTGAGGTCCACGCAGCTGAATTACGAGACACGGACTCTACTACGAGTTTGGACTTTTTCGACAGTAGCATTTCTGGTAAAACCAGGAGCAGCGATGAGCAGGGAGGAAAGGGGAGTCAGGCAACACCCTCCCTGCCTGGCTGAGCGTCACCGACCCACAGCCCAGCATCTGCCAGCACCAGGGGCCAGCGTGTCTTTCTAGCATCCTTCTTTTCCTGCCCTGCCCAGTGAGCAAACTTCTGGCAGGTCTCAGTCCTGGCAGTGTCATCAGTCTCCTCAAAATTCGCCAAGTTCCTGAAAACTCTTAGGGAGATCAGCTCTCCTTTTTGCAAGGCGGTAAGTGAAGATGCTTTGACCTACTGCAGCTGGAGCCGAGACTGAAAACCTCTTTATGGCTACACTTTTTTTTTAAAAACAAAAAAAAAAAAAAAGCAAACCAAAAAAAACCCAAAGCAAGACAGCAAAACTCACCTCTGCAAACTGTGTGGACGGGCTGTCGTCTATGCCGCTGCCATCTAGAAAACTGGAGAAAAACAGGTGAGTGAGAGCAGGTCACCCCTCCAAAAAATCAGCTCCTCTTCCAGGGTTAAATACAGATGGGAGCTCATGGGAGCAAGACAGTCCCCGTGTGGTCTGAGAGGGAAAAGGATGAGCAGACACCCTGCCCAATAATTCCTTGGGACAGAAAAGGACTGTTAAAATGGAGAGGTTGGTTTGTGTGCCAGCACACTGTGCACAACCGGGCTGTGGAAGAAACCTGGCTTCTCTGGAAGATCCTCCCAGGAGGAGGCACCGGAGATGGAGCATCCTCATTCTGCAAACGGGATTGTGTGCTAAGTGCCCCAGAGGACACCTCCAGTCCGGCCTTGGGCAACGGGTATACACTTATATTTACAAAGAGGACGTAGTGTGACATTAAGTCATCTCCCCGGTGACACCCAGCCCCAGACTCCTGCTGTGGCAAGTCTCAGATAGCAAAGGTTCACGTAATCACCCCTGCCCTTCCATCTCGCCTACTCCCACCCCAAATAAAGCAGTTTTCTCAGCAATTACTCATGACTGAATAGAGTAAGCGCTGAACAGGCATCACTTTGGATCCCTAATTTGCCAGCACCATGTTCTGCTGGGTGACCGGTGACCAAAATCGGTGCGCCCAGAGAGAAAAGGTATTTCTTTCTCTCTTGGCCTGCACTGTGAGACTGGAGAGGCAGGCAGGAGGCTGAGCTGGGGCCAATGGAGATAAAAAGAGAGGTACAGTGAGGCACTAAGATTCAAGCTTGATACCTAAAAAAAAAAAACAAAAAACAAAACCCACCAAACTCAAAGCTTTTTGCTCCAATAGATCAAAAGAAAACAGGCGTCAAAAACCTGCAAGTGCTTTTGTTCACGGGACCTTGTACAGCCTTAACTCACAACTCCCATCTTCTTGGAAATCTTCCCCAAACCCACGTGGCTCTAGCGTGAGACCGACGGCCACTTGTATTTTCAGTCTCATCTGGTATTAAGTCCAAATTCACACTAATATATAAGCTTTCGTTTTGCATTCCTTATTTTTTTACACTTAGGCCTCTTAGAAACCCAAGAAAGGTTAAACGTGGTAAAACAAACGGTGCGTCGATGCGTACGTTACCTGGAATCATCTGTGACTTCTTCGATAAAGCCAGATTCACATCTCGGGCAAGTGTACTCCTGCAGAGACAGGGGAAGCTGGTTTTAGCCACCAAGCACTTTCACTTGCGATTTCAGGGAAAAACAGAGCTCAGAAACTGCCACGCCAGGAGCCCAGCGTGGATTGCTGGTCCCCACCTCCCTGCAAAGGCACTCTGGAGGACCGGAGTTTCGGTTTCATCAAGAGGATTTCAAAGCCCGGTGGTTACTGCAGGTATTTTTAACCTCCACTGACAACCGTGGAACAGAAAAACACCCGTATCAAGATCACACAAGGTTAGTGGCGGACTGAAGAAAAAGAAATTAAAAAAAAAAAAAATAAAAAAAAAATCCCCACACCTCCAGCGTCAAGCCTGTCCGGGTAATGACGTTTTAAGAAAAGAGCCATTCGCAAGCCTGCTGCAAAGCACCAGGCCAAGGCCAGTTCCCAGCCCCAGCGATGGAAAAGCAAGTCGCTCCAATTAAACTGGTGTCAGAAAGCCAACGAGCTGCTGCGAAGGCCGGGAGCTGGCTTTGCTGCCGCTCGCACCGCGGGGAAGGCGGCTCTCGCAGGGAACTTAAGAGATGCTCTGCAATTATCGGTTCGAAAATAAATATTTGCTGTTACTTCTTTCCGCCAAGCCGTTTTCATAAAGGGAGATCCCATCCACAGGCTGCTCTGCCCTCCCTCCAAGCATGCCATTCCTTTACCAAGTGAAGGATTTGTGCTGCAGGCGAAGGGAACGCGCAGCCCCAGGGCTGCCTTCCCTGGCACATCACCTGGGGAAAAGCAGCTCAAGGCCACAAAATCCCAATCCAAAAGGCTCAAACTTGCACCTTGCCCGCCGCTGGCTCCCTGCGAGCCTGCCCTGCCAGCCCAGGGGCTGCTGCACCACTAGCAAGGTGCTGGTCACCAGAAAAGCAGGATGGAGGTGGATGGGTTTGCTCTGAGGCCCCAAAACTTTTGAGGATGGGAGAAGGAACTGGCTAATCCGGAGGCCTCCCTGCTCTGGAACATGCTGCTAGGGCCAACAAAGCAGGATCTGGTGCAGGGCAAGGTAACAAGAAGCCAGGCTGGGCAGACAGACAGGCACAGCCAGAGCACAGGGCACGGAGAAGAGGCACCTCTGGGTCCACCTTGCAGCAGTTCCTCGAACTCGGGGTCCTCTGGGTCGTCCCCCCCCTCCACCTCCCTGTTCATAAGGAGGGGGGAAAACCTCCCGTGGCTCCTCAGCCCACGCTCAGCTGGTGTGACAGAGATTCAAGTTCTGTGTCTGAGGTGGGGAAAAGCCATTATCCAGCCTCCCCACCTCCAGCCCTCCTCAAAACCAGGCAAAGGAGAAAAATTCCCATTTCTCCTGCAGTTTTTCACCACCACACCCCCCCCCCCCGCCAGCGTTACCAAGCAGGGACACCCCTGCCCAGGGGCAACCACGGGCACAGGAACGTCAGCCAGGGTTTGCACAGGCAGGGCAAGGGAAGGGCTCTGTCACACCGACAGCAACGCTTGCTTGCCAGCTATTTATCCACCAAGAGGAACAAAAGGACTGCGCCCCAAAAGGGGAGCATCCTCGGCAGCCTTGACCCCGGAGAAGGGCACAGCCAGCCGCACGACCCCGCAGCGATCCCGGCTTGGGGAGCGGAAAAGCTGCTCGCAGGGAGCCACGGAGGCAGCCGGAGCTTTCAGGAGCCGCAGGGGAGATTTCTTTAGAGGAGAAGAGTTTTCTGTTTTCATGGCGAGAGCCCTCGTTTTGTCCCCAGGCTGTGGATTGGCTTCAATTTAGGGCAAAACGTTGCCAAAAAAAAAAAAAAAAAAAAAAAAAAAAAAAAGCACCCTCAGATCCTCCCTCCCCAGCCCGGCCCGCTGCAGGAGACGGGGCGCTCCCCAAACCCATGCTTCGGGCAGTGATTTTCCAACCTGTGATTTGCGGGGTCTCTATCCAAAAATAAAGCCTCCTGATAAGCGCCTTGCTTTCCTTACTCGCGCTCGCCCAGACCACAGACAAAAACCCTGGCAGCGCCCTGTGAGCCGCAGCCTCGAGCCCTCAGTGTCCAATCCTGCTGCCCAGACTTAGAGCCTGGCAAGGAAGAGGAAAGCTAAGACACCGAAGACAGCGGCACACCAGTCGCTCCAGCTCCTTCCTTTGAACTCCCAGCACGGTGCCGAGCTCCAGGACCGATCGAATTCCCGGCGCAGCGTTACCAGAGCTGGGGCGCAGGTGAGACACCTCCCAGCCCTGTAACACAACACCTGCATGAAGGCAGCTCCAAATTCACCCCACGGCTTTTTTTTTTTTTTCTTCTTCTTCTTCTGCTTTCGTGAAACGCAAGCTTCAGCTTCCCGCCCCCTGCCACCGTACAGCTCCGTATCTTTTTCCCACTGAATCTGTCTTTCCCTGGGAACGGCACAAAAGCCCTCTAGACACCTCATTTTGCTTTCCCCCCTGAAGCAAAGCACTAGCTGGCAATATTTCCCAGGTGCTGTGCTGACGCACGGGCACCACTTGCCGGCTTGAGCAGCTTCAGAGGTGGAGGAGCGTGTGGCGGGGGGCTGCCCGCGGCAGCTTCGCTCCCAAAAACACGCGCGAGACCCCAGCCGGCGACGGGAGAGGTCGAGCCCAGGTTTTCACAAGAGGCCCATTTAGGCAGCCGAACACGTGGGGTATTTTCAAAAGAGCTCCAGCCTTGAGTATAATGGGAACTGATGGGCGATGAGCTCTTGGAAAGAATAAAAAAAAAATTAGGAAAAAAAAAAAAAAAAAAAAGTGTCTGTCTAGGGCTTTCGGCTTTGCACCCGCAAATTGCAAGGCTAACGAGAAGAGATGAGCGTGTTTGAAAGAGGAATGAGCGTCGCTCGGTTCTGCGTAGGAGCAAATTGTGGGGCTGAACGCCCCCACGGAGAGCAGCGGCTGGGACGGCGCGGGGCGACAGCGCGGACCCATCTCCGAACCAAAATTATAACACAGGGGTAAAAAAAGACACCAGCTTGTTCTTGGGGAGGGGGGGGAAAGGCCCTGCGAAATGCGGAGCACTCTCCGGTGTCTCTCCTCAGAGATGCGAGGTCTGAGCTGCAAATTGGAAGCGAGGAGCAGTGGATGCCTGGCATTTCTTAAAAGTAATGAATACATACCGAATCGAAAGCCGGGTACTAAAATACTGGGGTCAAAAAGCTCATTTCATACTATTCCACGAGGATTCAGAGCAATACCAAACCAGGAGGTCACTCTGTGATGCTTAAAAATCCTTCACATAATGGATTTCCAGCATTTTCCCTGTCAAAATGACCACATTAAAAAAAATATATATTTTTTTTCTTAAACTTAGCAGGAGGCCATGCCATCAGGGACACTGCAGGTCTAATGCATTTCTGGAAGCCTTTGAATGTCTCTTTTTATGTTATAATCCGTATGGAAATTACCAGCATCTTGCCCAGAAGCTCAAATGTATAGTCAGAGCATGAAGAGAGATAAAAATGGCATTTGGGATAAATAGCAACAGGGGGGAGGGAGAAGGGAAACCAGAACAGACGCCGGGAGGTGGGTGGGTCGCTGCGGAGCCATCGGATGCGTGGAGCGGCACGAGCCCTGCGTCTTACCTCCCCGCTTTTCTGCAAAAGGTTTAGGGATGCATCGGTCAGCCCCGGTCTCTGCCTGCAGAGAAGGAGGTTGAGGGGTGCCCCGCGGCCCCCAAAACTGCCACCACCACCGTTCCGGTGAGCACGGGGACCTCGCTCCTCAGGCAGGATCCAGCCACAGCGCAAAGAAAAAAGGGACTTTCCAGGGAGGAATGACAACTTCCTACCGCTCCGAGTCCCCTCCAGCTTGGTGGGCTGTGTTTCCCAGAAGGAAAAGAAATCCAAACCCAGGAGGAGCCCGCGCTGCCCGCGGCTCTGCCCTGCTCACGGGAGACGGTCGCTAGAGGAAAGCAGCCAGATGATTTCCAGGACTGGGTGGCACACACACATCTAGCCCTAAGCGCGTCTGTCAGGAGCAGCGTTGCTAGACTTGATCCTACAGCGGGGCAGAAAGGATGGGCTAGAAGGTTTTTCAGCCCCTGGTTTATGGGTCTGTACACCCAGGCGGTCCCCAAGCCCCGCTTCCCCCCCCCCAAAACAGAGGGAAAGATGCAAACGCGATTCGCAAAGGCGTGTGGCAGCAAACCTGTCTAAGGTTTGAGGCCCCTGCTGAAAATTGAGTTTAAAGACTGCAAAGCACCGGGAAAAGCCACGTGCAGGATGCTTTGACCCATCCACGGTGCCCTGTGGGTTCCTGGGCTGCGCAGGCACGTGGCCAGGCTCGGGCAGACCGTTCCTGCCTTTGTCCTGTTCATCGTCGCACCCGGACGCACAGGAAACCAGGAACCCCCAACTCCCCCCCCCCGCCCCGGGGACCCTACTGCACCCAAACACAGCCCCCCCGCAGCGCCTTCACCCCCGGCAGCGTCTCTCCGACCGAGGCACCAAACCCAAGCTGCTCCCAGCCACTGGTCACGGTGGTAGTTTGTCACCCTCACCCGCACGGTTGGACTCCAAAAGTCCCCTCGCGCTCTCCTGGCTATGCCGGGCACCGGCAGCTTGGAGAGGAGACATTAGAGCAAGCTCCCTGATCAGCAACAGACTCCAACAAAGCCGAGGGAATAAGGCAAGAGGAGAAGTTTTCCCCGGCTCTCGCTCCATCGCTTCGACGTTGTCGCTTGTCCCCTCCTCGACAGCCCCGAGCCCGTCCCACAGCTCCAACCCCAGATGTGATTTAATTACTCCCCCCCCGCTCCCTCACCAAGCAGCTACGGGCAGGATAACTCAGCTCCACCACCCCGGGTTTAGGTTGAGTCATTTGTCTTTGCCAAATGAAATAACCCTCCTGTAATCCCCACAGCTGCAGTGATATTTACTCCTCAAGTACTGCGCAACGTCGCTCTGCACTGTCCAGACTGGCTTCACCCAAGGGGCAGCCGCTCCCTGCATTAAATAAGCCATACGGTCTATGTTTGACACGGGTAAAAAGAGAGAGACCCAGAGAACTGACCCTAATTCAACACTTTAA